CTTTGAAAAGTCAACAAATTCTTAATAAAACAAGTGTATATATATTAACAATAATTATTTTCTACAATTAATAATTCTACAATTAATTATTCTATGTTAATTACACTATATTTTACAAAGTAAACACCCATACCCTTTTTTTCAGGATTAAAGGGGCACTCCCTTAAATTAAATTGATCAAATATAAATAGTGTTTTGTTGATCAGGTTTTTCGATAAGAATATTTTCAAAATAATTTTCTTAATTTAACAGGTGCAGTCTGTGCATACAATGAGACTATTTGTTTATCAAATATCAAATTATTTATGAGGTAATATGGCGGGTTTACCTGATTAGACACACCATGATAAGATAGTAGTGTTTACTTTGTTCAATATAGTTTTATCAAATACAGGAAGAAGACAATTATGCATCATATTTATTTATACAAGGTATTAAATGCTTATCAAAAGTTTCAAATCAGTCACAGCTAAATTATTTATGGCTGTATCGAGGCCATTAACTTGTAACTTGCCCTGCATACAATTCCAAAAATGTAACTATTTGTCTTCTCTGAGAGTACTGGGAGATGAAACAATTTTGACATGTCTTTCTAACAAGACTATACAATAACAGAGACAACATCATTCAACACTCTGTAGTCATGGTAACGATATTTCATAATATATATCTTCAAAATCAACAAATATATTCTTAGTGTGGAGTTGATGGCAGATTTAAGATCTTTGGAAATTTTTCTGAAACCCTAAATGATTTAAGCTAAACTCTGTCTTTCTTTAAATCTTTATGAGCCTCTTTGCTTTCTTTTTCTTTCTTTTTCTTCAAGAAACCAAAGACTGAATGAGTCTTCTTCTTGTCTGATTTACCATCTTCACCAAACTGTCCAACTGGTTCAGAAACTGGACGAACTGATGCTCCGCCTTTAGGTCTCATCTGAATCAAAACATATATCAATTTATCAGCATCAAGTCAATACACTATTTAAATGACAGTTTTGTAGATGAAAATGAAATGAATGGAGTCCTATTTTTCTTGCAGCAGAATGGGCTAATGAAGACAGCCATGCAGTGCGATATTAAAATTCTGTCAGGATAGTGGCATTAGTCTACTCTGTTTGATTTCTAGCAATATTCACAAATAAATGACTTTTGACACAGTTCTGGTGGCCACTATGGTGTAGCTATGGTAACCACAGGATTGACCTTGACCTTTGATAATTATAATGATTCCATGCAAGCTAAGTTCTTATTCATCCTGGTTATAATACTCATTTGAATAATATTTTACAGAAAGATATTATGCCATATTCTTACCTGAACTTCATCTGTATCATGACCTAGATATAACAAAACAAAATTTAAAATGAATATTAAAATATTGAAGATGTCCTATTGGTTAGCCACATTTCTATCATGAAGAGGACTATTGCAGCATTAGAATTTTGCCAGAAAGATCGATGGCTATATCAATCAGATAGAAATACAGTCTGTTTATGTTGTTCCTAACAATCGTTATTCCGTTCCCAGTCAAAAGCATACAGATTTCAGGGTTTCCTGATTAATGTGGATCCACTGTATATTAATAATAAGCATACATACCATCTGTATCGGAAGAATAAAGTTGGGATGGTGGACTCATAGCTGATCCTGTTGATGGTGTTGAATCATCTAAAAAAAAATACATATATTAGGCCTATTAAAATATATGATTTTATGTTTATGATTGACCATTAGATGGAAACTAGAAATGAAATGAAAAAGAATGGAGTTTTACATCCTACTTGGGTTTTGTAACTAGTATAGAACATCAAAATTTAATTCTACTATGTGGGCTTCATTAAAAGTACTTTCACATTGTTAGAAACAATGAAATTAGGCTTTATCAAAGAATTTTATCAAAATTCTGCAGCCTTCAAATTGTGTTTTATCATGAAGTTTCTTTTCTTGCTAAACCATGAAATTGGGCTTCATCAAGGGATTCTCCAAATTGCTGACGCTGTGAAATTGGGCTTCATCAATTGATTCTTTCAAAATACTGAAGCCAGAAAATACATGACTAACCTGATCTATAGCCTGGTGATGTTATAGAAGTTGTTCTGCTGTCTGTGTGGTCACTTTCGACCTCTTTCACTCCATCTTCATGTACAATAGACATACGTTTATCATCTCGCTGTGGACTGGTAGCTCGCTGAGGACTGGATGATCCAGACCCTTCTTCGTACTTTGTAAATTGTTCTGAGGGTTCTAAAGCTATAAATAACCACATGAAAAATATATAAGATACAGATCAAAAATTGAAGTTTGATTAAAAATTTGGTTAATGTGTTATAGATAGAAAGATAAAGTCAAAGTTATTTAAAAGCGCTAAAAGCATTAATTAGTAATTAAAGTTAGACCAATTAAAAGTTATTGATAGGGAAATAATTAAAGGACATCATGCCGATCTGTTTCTACAGTTTAAATATTTACATGTTACTGTTTTGTCATGAAGAATCACAAGTATTTCACAAATTTTTGAAAATTTAACTTTCTAGAATCCTAAAGAACCAGAAGAATATTTTGCGTAATATTTTTTCAGAAATTGATCAGAGTTCTGATCTTGGAATAGAAAGGAAAAAAAAAATTTTCTGCCACCCAAAATTTGGGTAAACATTTTTGGTCAGTCTGATGATTTGGCACCTATGACAAATATAAATAGATTTCATGCCAGGAACCTCGAACCCCAAATACCAACACAGACAATGCCACATACAACTAAGCTTATCTTCACCTCTGTTTAAATGTTAATTTCATGCAACATAACACAAATGGGTGAATTGATTTAAACTAATATGGACAATATATATTTTCATTTGATATGACTTAATTTTATTAACTTAATAACACATAATCATATTTCAGTAGGGAAAATCATGCATTTCATTATGATATCATAATTATACAAGCTAATATCAAAAGGTACCATTTGGAGTAATTGAACATGCATAGATATTGAAAGTAATTTGATAAAAGCAAACCAGTGCAAAACAAAACCAAAAGCTAACATAGAAAACAAACACTAAAAAATGAAAAAAAGCAGTGAAATGAAAACAAAATGCAACAAAAAGTGCCTAAATTCTATGTGCCCCCAACAAATGTTTGGCAAGCAATTTGGTAAAAAGATAGAACTGGATAATCAAGAAATCACCTGTGTCACCACTGTCATCCAGTTGAGAATTATTGCTATATACTTCCAATAGAGGAAGCATGGAGGGTTGTTCTGTAAATTGAAGAGTTAGTAAAAGTTTAAAAAGGTTCAGACATTTTAAAAGGAAGAAGGGATTTAGAGTCTACATAATAAAGCTGATTTCAAATGAACTTGTTGGATATCGTAATTATAAATATTCACGAGGACTTGAACATTTCAAAAGTAAGTTCAAGGAAAACCAGCTTATTATACACTAATATATACCCAATTTCACAATGTCAAAATATTACAAACTGTTTAATACCTTGACTACATTAGTCACCTTTCTTGTATTACGGAATGAAGCGTTTTGATTGGATGTTAACAAATACAGCCATCATGTTCCACGATAGAAAGACTGTAAACATTATGGCTAATGGTTCACAGACTTCTGATCCAAAATCAAGAGAAGAGCCCAATGAAGTCAAGGTATTAGACCCTGTTTGTAATAGCTTGACATTGTGAAGATGGGGGATACCCATCAACTACTTTCAGTGACCCACACAAAAATCATAATTAAATTTCCCATCTTGAAACTTTTCAATCATGTTAATTCATAAAGAATGTTACTTCATTAACAAGCATGCTTTAAAAAACTCATTCCAATTTATTAGCTCTCATTTCAAACATCATGCAAATAAAATCATTGTTCCATGTTGAACATAGCTTGACATTAACTACAGTGGTGCCAGATTGGGTCTCCCACAATACATAATGCCACTCTGTGAATGGTTTGTCAACTCAGCAAGCCATTTGGAGGGTTCAAATATTCTTTAATTTGCTCTTAAAGACATAAATTTGTTAAGTTTTATGGCAAAATTCTTTGAACTCCGCAAAATATCTGAAGAGTGTGAAAATGATAAAATCCTTCAAAATATGCAAAATAAAACAGAATCTTCTAAAAATTTGTAAATAGTGCAGCTTTTCTAATTGCTGTGCTTTAATAAATTAAAAATAAATTCTTATTAAAAATTGAATGAGAGAGGTTAAAGTTATCATAAAAGATTATAAAAAAATAGTCAATAGACATCTAGATATATTTTTAATAAGATCAGGTAGAGAGATAAGTATCTACAATCTGAAATCATTATTTTATGAGTCTAACAAGCCTGAGGTATACATGTTTTCATGTGATTTGATCCGGATTATCAATAAAATAAGCGATTATCTAATTGATGATAAGTGATTAAGATGAGTAGATGTCGCATTATACAGATTTTTCTGAGTGTTGGGACCACTGATTAGTGTCGTAATTCCGAATACACAGAGTGTCGGAGTACTCAGTTCTTTTAAACTAGCCTAAGAAGGAAATCAATAGGGACCAGAAAATGATGTCGGATTACGCAGAATGTCGGAATACTCAGATGTCAGATGTCAGATATCACAGAGTACACTGTATTTATAATACACATGGTATTTACAATGATATAATGTTGATGAGTACTAGTATACCACTATCTAATTTGACTAACAACCATTTTATACAAGGATAACAACTTAGGTTTGTTCAGACTGATCTTTCCCAGATTATCCATACCCTATTTATATCTGGGTTGGCTGGAATAATGAGGAAAGATGTAAAGACTGTGGTATTAGCCAGATTAGAAAGTTTCAAAGTTAGATATAAGCTACAACTCAGACTTGAGTTTTATTCTCATAAAAGGAAATCTAGAGATGTTGTTCAAAAGTTTCTCCAGAAATTTAATTGGTCAATATCATTTTGTATATTATGATTTACACTTCTCAGGAAATTTGATTGGCCAATATCATAACTACTATGACCAATCAAAGATCTTGAAATGGTTCCGACAGGGACAAGCCCCTAGATTACAAAATAAAGAATTAAGGGAGGAAACTCTACCTGAATAATATTGGATTTTGTTCAACCAATCATTTAATTCTTCTTCATTGTGAACTTCCAATAAAAACTCAGCTCCATCATTGGTTTTTAGACGGAGGACATTTTTCTTCTTGGTATAATCACTAGCTATCTCACACTGAGCTTGATGTATATTAACAGGTGGGGCAGCTGCTTGACTTTCTGTAAAAGCTGAAATTTAAATCAAATAAATATAGAGAAAAACATAAATATAAAACATTTTGTTAACATTACTCTCAATATTTGGAGGTAAATAAAGACCCACTGGTTACAATATTGTTCAATCAAAGGCAGCCAGACATTTAGTTTACTCCCCATGATGGTGTCATGGTGCCCTGATATGCTGAGTGAATCCCATATAACAACAATTACCATATTTCATTTTTATTTCTATGGATAAATAGACGGATAAAAAATTTGTGAAATATCACATGTTCTATATAGAAATGTCACAAAGTTTTATCTTACCTTCTTTGTCTTTAAAGAAACACAAGAGTTGACCAAATAACACAGTATGGAACTGTTTCCAGGATCTAATGGTAGCTTTTTTACCTCCAACTTGTAACTCTTGTTTTCTGTCTATTGTACCTTGCATTTCAACTGGTGGTAGATCTTCTGGTAGTTTATATTTTTCTTTGAAACTTCGAGTTTTACGTCGGATGTTAAAGCTTGGTGTTCTTTTCGATTTTTTCTCATCTTTCACGTTTTCAACGCGTTTTTGTTTTGGGCTTAATGGTGGTGAAGTTAGTTTTTCCTTTTTGGTAAATCCAGGTGAAGTTGGTGGAGGAACATTGTTGAAATCAGTACTGGTGTTAGATAAACTTGTATTAGAATCGTCAATGTTGTCTGCTGATTTTGGAGGAGGTGGCAAACTGGGCAGACTGGGGGCATCACCATCATCATCTATACTAGTTTCCAATGATCTTTGGTTTATTGAGTCGTCATCCATAGAAGCAGAAAAACTGAACTCTGTGGCCTTGGTCAAGGGAGATAATGCCTGGTCATTTTGTTTTAAACTAGTTGACCTCTTGACCTCCTCACCAGGTCGCGCCACCATTTTGATACTTTGAGACCGAGCGACGATAAGATTCTTTACCACTGATTTATCAAGTTGACTATCATCCAATCTGTGAAAGAAAAGATAAAGATGACAACTTCGGCATAAAAATATTCATGTTGAAAAGTCTAAAGGATGGTTGAATCAAGGCTATGTATAAGATTATTCAAGTGACTGTTTAAATATAGCCTGTTCACAACCATCTGGCAAGTAGCAAAATTCCAAACAAATCTAAATTCAAATAACCACTTTTCTAATTCAAGAACAGAAATTGTCCAGGTATCTAAATTTATGCATGATTTTGAGTATGGTGACATTATATATAATGACTCCCGTCCAAATCTTAACTATCTTTTTAATAAAAATTAGAAAAAAATTAAATTGAGTATATACCTTTCATCTTCAACTTCAGAACTGCCTTCTCTCTGTCGACGTAAATTAATTTCTCTTGCTTTACGTTGTTCTTCCTCTTTCTTACGTTCCTACAGAAACAGAAAAAGAAATTTCAAATATGTCTGGTGACGCCCTTGATTTTGTTGCATAAATAATTTTAGTTGAAATTTTACAATCACTTTATATCATCAGGTCCTGTAATAATGTTTAGCTAAAATTGTTTAGATTATCTAGCATATTTCTGATATCAGCTAAACCAAGTTTTTTTACGGGTTCATTTTGAAATTCAAGATATGTTAAATCTGTCTTGTTATGGAAGATATTTCTCACAATTTGTCATTATTAAATGTGCAAAAAGCTAAGTATTTTTAGAGTGAATTTAATTAAGTTAAAAAATATTATTTTTTGACATTGAAGAGTCAGTCATATACACAGAACCAAACACAAGGTTCTTCATAAAAGCAAACATTTTCTTTAAGAGCGCAACACATATTTAATAAAATATAGAAAAAAAAAATAACTATGTTTTAAAAAATAAAATCTCAAAAAAAGAGAGGATGGAAAATGGGCTAGAATTAGATGATGTAACTCCTTTATGATATGGGGCATAAAATAAAAAAAGAATGATAGAAATATAGATCATAACCATTTAACTCGTCTATAAATTTGTGCCGATATGAGATGGGACACAGAATGTGCAAAAAGTTACAGAGTAAGAGAGATAGGAAATAAAATAAGAGATTGGTCCACACAATATATTTTAAGAAAGAATTTAGGAGTTATTACCCCTGATTTTAGACCGACTCGCTACAAATTAATAAAATATAGTTCATAAAACAACAACTAAGTATGGACTATTTTGTAAAAACAATAATATGTAAAGAAAATTTAGAAAAAAAAGATAAAAAATTAGGAAAGAAAAAATCTGACCACATCCCTAGAATATTTTAAACTGGTTGCTAGATGGGAATATACATCAAAGAGATATTCAACAAATTCAAAATACAACTAGCAAAATCTACAAGAAAACCAATCCCCAACAAATTCATATCAAGACAGGTCAAATCTGAATAGCAAATCTGAATATCTGAAACTGAAAACATGGCAGAAGTTGACAATACAACATTTAAACAACAACATATATAGGATTCAAACCACAAACATATAACACAGTTGGCAAAATCAGGAAAAACACAATTAAAACATAGTTTCCTTTTAGATATATAGACACTGAAGCTTGTTTTATATCATACATATAATGTACATCTTCAGGTCTGAAAGGTCACGAACTGTTGAAATGAATCCTCAATATAACACACTAGGTAGCAGACTGATATTCCCAGTCATAATCTACTTGAGCAATTTTCACAAAAATACACAGATTCTATGGATAGCTGACAGAGTGCTGCATGTAGTCAAAGGGAGGTAATCACGCTTCAATGACAAGAATATCAGTCTGCTACCTGAACGGTTAGATGGCGGATTCATTTCAAAAACTTAAGACTGATCAAAGCTGAAGATCACATATTTTCTGCTTGTAGCAGTTCATCTTCTGATTATATTTTTGAAGCTGGCCAAGCTTATTTTCATCTTTCTAATGGTTTCTTTTTAAGAATCATGGGCTTGTATTTCAAAATATCACTCCTTAATGCTGGAAATATGTGATTGATATTGATTTCCAGATTTAAAAGGGAAATTTTTTCTTCAACAGAGCCAGGGATAAGAGATATCTCGATGATTCAAAGCCAACATTTTTTTCCCCGGTGATTGGCTTAAAAAAGCAGCATTTCAGCATAACACAAATCACAAGATACAATATACCATACCACCATAATGATGTCATAACACAGAATAGTACACCAACACACAATGAATATAATGAAGAAATATTGCAGATTTTTACAATATCAAATAAACACCATATCATAATAATGAGGGGGGGTCTCAAAGAATATATCATTTTACTGTATGTCATGTGACACATAAAGGAATTCGACTGGGTTGAAAAAAGGTTTCGCTACTCCAGAGAAACAGAACTGAATACACTGACTTTATTTCAAAAAAAGTAGATTAAACAACCCAATCTTATACTATCCACTGACTGGCCCTACATAGCTCTGTCAAATTAATATGTAACTGTCATGTGACCTCCCTGAGCTATTGACCTATGACATTTTGTCTAAAGTGAAGCACGGTAATAACAGTGTGTCATTTAAACATTAAATGATTTTAGGTTGATTTGATAATTTGTTATAATAATTTGCAATATTTCTTCAATATCTTAAGATAATAAGCTTCATGCATTAGTGTATTATGATCAAAGCGAATAAAAACTTCTGAATAAAAAATGAAAACATACACCATGACGGACCTGTAAATATAATATATTATAATGAAATGTTAATACATAGATTTAATATTACCTCTGAAAATCAAACAGAAACTTATAGTGTTAGAGACTATTCTAAACCCAATGTTGTTCAAAAAATGAAATAAATACATGGAGTTTTACACCCTTTTTCCTGCACTCAATGGGTTTTAGAAGACAGGCAACACCATGTAGTTTGCAAAGAGCCTACTCTTTTCGGAATTCAAGGTCGTTCCAGATGGAAACTTTTTCTGAGAGTTTACAAGGCAAAAATAGTACTTTTGGAAACAAATAACTTCCAATTAAAAAAAATTTCAATCAATTTTTCATTGGCGAAAAACATGTGGAACAAAAACAACAAAACTCATTTTTGATTTTATAAAAAATAATCTCTAATAAAGGTGTCCCTCACACCAAAGAGATCACCAGTTGTGCCTGGTTTGAATAAGAATAGCAATCATAAGTTTTGAATTCAACTCTCATGTAACTAAGTTGTGAGTTGCGTTCGATATTCATTAACCCTTTCATTATTCTCAACCATGCACAATTGATAATCGCTATGGTGTTAAAAAATAAATGTTATAATTTAGTAAACATACACAGAATATGCATTCCCAAGCAATTCATGAATTCAAAATTCATAACCCTTAGCAAAATATGATAAAAAGTCAAAATCTGGATTGGGTTTTAAAAAAAAAAAGTTTATATTTAAAGCTACCTTATTTAATTCCCTTTCCTTAAAAGATATCAAGCATATCTCAAAAAACAAGAAATTTTGTAAAATGGAAAAAATAGTGCTTTATTTTAAAAAGATTATGGTGATAAACTTTGAATACTGTAACCTAGGATGGTAACTTTTACCTTATAATGCCCTTTGATGATGAAATTTATAGAAATTTTGAACTGAATTTTGGCAATAAGAAGGAACAACTTTAATAATTATTTTATTCTTTAAGTTTTGAATGATAAAATTTTTGAAAATTCAAAAATATTTGAATGAATTTTCAGCACAAGATTTGCCTTAGACATTAAAAAAATATTAAATCAGAACTCTTATACAGATTCTATCCTTATCCAATTATTCAAAACAAAATACCAGATTATCCAGTCAAGATTCTAAATCTATAAGCTCTTTATTAGCCTTCAGCAAATTTGGAGTACTACAGATCCATTCTCAAATTTTAGTCAATGTAAATTGATCTTCATGAACCATGCCGCATGATTAAAAGCCCTCTAATTTTTTGCAATAAGCATATCTGATGATTTTATGACTAAGTAAAATAACTGCCATGCTGTTAAAGGCCTGTAATACATGCAATTGATATCTCATATATCTGTATCAAATAAACAGACATACATGTGATCAAATAATGTAACTTAACAAGCAGAAAGCTCTGATGCATCCTGGGAAACCTGTAAGTGTCTCATTACATACTTATTATCTCCCCTTGGACAAGTCTAAAAGTTCACATGAACAATCTATAAGAAGTCTGACAATGCAGAGAGGGGGATATTTTGGAGTGTAATGAAAATTCTCTAGGAATCGCAGGATGCCAGCAATATCAGATACAGTACTTACATCTAAAATACGATCCTGTTCTTTCTTCCTTAATTCATCCAATCTATCTCTCTCTCTTTTAGCATCATCTTGAACTTGCTGTTGTTGTTCTTGTAATTTATGTTGGGCAAATGCTCTCTCAACCTAAATGACACAGTATCAGAATAATCTATAATTAACCTTTAGAAATAACCAACACTTATTATGACCTTTTTTGAAGACAGAACTAAAGGTAAATACAGATGTAAAACACATCAGAAATACTTGACAAAATACAAAAGTATCAATATTGGTATTCTAATAAAAAATTCTACCAAAATCCTGCTATCAAAGCATGTCATGTCCATTGTGAAACCCAAAGTAGAAATGAAATGAAAGGAGTTTTAAAACCCAAAGTAGAGCAATAGGGGTTTCAATATCCCACTAATCTTCTTTGTAATCAAGAAAAACATGCTCTGATTAGTTATAAAAATGGCATTAGAACGTGATAGCGATATAAATGTGCTAGATTACGATGGTGACAGAAAAAACAAAACAAAATTGGATGACATTACCTCTGATGGTTTGTCCAGAGCTTGGAATTTCTCATCCTGAGCATCCACAGTTTTCTCGAAATCAGCATGACGTCTGATTAATTCTTCCACAGCCTGTATAGATTCACCGTAATTCTTTCCTTTCAGTTGAGGTTCTCGTAGACTCATCCATGCATCAAGTTGTTCCATGTAATATTTCAGTTTCTGAAGAAGAATGTGATTGATAGAAAATGTATATCAGATCCTTTTTAGTTAGTGTGTTTTGATGACACATTAAAAGGACACGCTTGCCATCAGTTTGACCAATCGTACCTTAGTCTTAGAAACAGACTTTCTTGATGTATCATCTTCACAGCTCACCCTTGACATTTGAGCTTTCAAGTCCATGTGTGTATTGAGGAAATTAAAATGATGACAATTGAAAAGACAGATGTAGAAAAGAAAGTGAAATTTCTAGTTTAAAGTATGGATTATGGTATTTTCATGTAGTTCTAGTATTATATTTATATATATTCAAGACCCAAATCAACCCCGGAAAATGGCCAACGAGGCCCTTTAAGGCACATTAAAATTTCAAAGTAAAAATATGATTGGACAAATGAGGTTTTGATAATCAAGATATTTACCTGTGCCTCAAGATTCTGTCCATGTAATGATCTACGATGATTCAATGTTCGTATTAAACCTTCCCTTGATTCACTCAGTTGATTGATCTTCTCTTGAATCTGAAATCAAAATAACCAGAATAAAATACTACCCCCAGCTGGTTTTGTTCTTGCAAGGACTCTTTCAGTGATTCAAGATTTCATTTGATCTTTCCTTATGAATATAACCCCACATTCTAACTGAAACATAATCTAAGCTTGAGAACCAAATATTAAAATACACAACAAAGTCCTATTTTCCAATAACTAAATTAATATTTGTGAAAAAGTGTGGAATCAGGAACTTTTCAAGTCGATGAAAACATAAATTTGAGAAATTTAGCTTTGGAAATAAGAAGCTATGTTCAAAATAGTTTTCATCCTACCTCATCTGATAAGAAATGACCATTCTTGATCAACATCTCTCCTGTATGTCTAAATTTAGAAAAGGCGTCTGCTCGGCTGTCAACTTCTGCTTTATGTTCCTTGTATCTGGTAATCATGGCTTCTGCACCAGGTAGATCTTTAGCTAGTTCATCTGATGTTATAATAGCTATCATTTCACTGATCCAGGCTCTAAAAATAGGGGAGAAACCATTTACTTTGTGAACAACTGAATACAATGGGACAATTCTCCACATAAATGAAATTGGAACAAACAGCATCTTGACAACAGCAGAACTATGGCTGATGTAAGAAACACCTTTATGTTATTGCACTTTTTGTTTTCAGATTTACAAGATGGTAAGAATGGGTGCACATTATATTCACAATGATACTGTACTTTCCTTTCAGAGCGGGCCAATAGGAATAGAGTTTAGAACTCCCGCAATAAGCATTTGTGATGTTATCGTCAATGTTTCTAAAAATTGGTCTGGCCCTGCCAAATCCATTCAACCTTAAAGTATCTTGTATCCTGTTATATACCAAAGCACCTTATACAGTAGTTAGGGTACTTACGTAAGTTCTCTATAGTCATTAAAGTACATCTGTAACTGTAAGGCAGACTGTAATCGTTCTTTACGTTGTGAAGATTTCTCAACCAAAGTGTTCCAGGCTTGTACCATTTCTTCATGCTTCCTGGCTATATGTTCCTGAGTATCAGGATACAATGCCATTAATCTTTCTGCTTCTTTTGTTATTGTCTCAACTTGTTCACTGATGGCTGCTAAATCTCGCTGAAAAAAGATGTCCAGATGTTAATATCATTCATGATTCTCACTTGATACCTTATGACTTTATTGAATTTGAGCTCCACCAAAATAAGCAATGTAGAGGGTGTCATCAGTGATGGAGCCAGGTTTACGTTCGAGAGGGGGAAAGATATCTAAAATTGCCTGAATCTCTAACCTAGTTATGAGATTTTTATCCAAAAAACTGCCTCCTCTGCCCAATTTTTGGCTCCGTCACTGGGTGTTATCAGCAGGCAGTGAGTGTGTACTACAACACCTTATGACACTGTTCAACTGGATTTGTCGACTATTGTTTTTTGCTTCAGTAAATTCATTTGATACAAAAGTAGTCAAAATAAAGCAAAGGGAGTAACTTGATGTGTGCCATGTGTGTTTTTATAGATAATTAGTGTAATAATCTGACTTACCTCCAAACCTTCATGTCTACTGATCAAAGATTGAACACTTTCTAAATCATGTCCAAAATCATCACTGCTAACAATCAAATCTTTTTCTTGGATCCATTCTAATGTATCATCAGCATCTCTGGCATACATATGGACCTCTTTAGCTCCAGACAGTGACTGTAAAGACAAATTTATACATGGTATGATCTATGCAAAGAATATGCAATGTATACACTTTTATATAGAAATAGACATAGGTATTTGGATATACTATATCTGACTATTGATTAACTGCATGTTCATATGTTCATGAATTCAAAATGGTTATATTTTTTGTGAATATATTTGACTGTTGAGCCTTCATACTGTTAAAGCTTTCTGTTTTAAGAGAAATCCTGAAAATTCTTGAAGAAGTTTTAATGTTGGTATTTTACCTCTTGTCTAGCTTGTGCCATTTCTTTCAATTCTGCCCAATTCTTGTTGATTTCATCCATTCTCTTCTTGATTTTACTGGATTCAAAATGTTTCTGGTCAATCATTGTTTGTCCCAAAGATACCACCTTCGTTACACGATCTTCTTTCGAATTCAAATCATGGATAAAATCTTCAAACTTCTGTTGTAGAACCTGAAATATAATCAAATTGAAATACTAACCTGAAGCTGAGTTTGTCATCGCTGAAACTCTTTCAGCTCTTTCTTTCTATTATCATGCACCTGAGTTAATAAAGACAGGACATGAAGTGTGCAATGAAGGAAATTTTCCCATGAAAGGTCATTAGCGTTTGATCCATTAAACATGGTGCTCTCTTTCTCGAAGACGGAAAAACAAATTACCTCAACGTGTTCCAAGTCTTGACCATAATCTTCAGACCCAGCTATGACGTTCCTCTCTTCAATCCAATCAGCCACTTCATCTGCTTCACGATAGAACTCAAATAATTTCTTACTTTCGCTTAGTTTCTGTCTTCTCTGACTGGATAAATCTTGTAACTGGGCATACCTCTTTTCTATTTCAGTCTGGAAGATAAAGAGAAGTAAACGCGTGATGTTGTTGATGATGAAAATATGTATCTTTTCAGTTCTGCAATCAAGTTAAAACTGTATGATTCAGCAATCAGCAACTGTGTTTGATTTTGGCAATCAATGGCAATTTCAAATTTCAAAATTCCCATATAAGCTCTCATACTTTGCTAAATCTCTATTGAATTGGATAGGTCATGACCCTTGACACCATAATGAACTTCAGACGACAAAGCAAGGTTGATGAAAATCAAATATAGATCAAACCTGTTTCTGTCGAATGTTTTCACTGTCATAATGTCCTTTATCAGTCAGACTTCGACTAAGAGCAGATAACTCTCCAATACTATTACTGAAGTTCTCCACATCTCTTTCTAGAGCATCCAGTTTCTTCATCAACACTTGTACAGAATCTTCATCTTTACCCAGATCAGAACTGGTCAACTGTGGTATCTTTTCATTCATCCATGATTCAGTTTCAGCAATTTCTGTATAGAACTTTAATAGATATTTAAAAAATGAAAGATTTTTGAGCGTAGGATTAAATAAAGAAAGGAATAATAAACTTGAAGAAGAGAACGTAACTGCGTTAATAAACATGAGCAACCCATTGCAGTGTGAAATGAGGGAAATATTACCAATACATCTGTTTGTTTTATATCATTTGTTTTATCTGTTCTGATTTGCAACTGCTGAAGGATTCTGATCAAACCAAGCTTTAAAACTAAGTTTTTCATCTTAAAATGATACATTTTTTATGATATACATCACTAAGGAACCCAGGCACTCCAAAAATTACAACAGGAATCTAAAAGAGTCCCGGAATAGCTAAGGTATACGTACCTTCTGTGCCTCTAGAGAATCTTGTAATTTCAGTTTTCTACTGGATGTTATTTGCTTGAGTTCCTGTAGTTGTTGATGAAGATTATCCAGACGACTCTGTATATCTTGACTAGCGAAATGTTTACTTCTGACCATCATTTGAGCAGAACTGGCGACAGCATCAATCAATGGTTCATGAGCTATAATTTCTGATTCCAAGGCCTGGAGGGAAGAAAGAATAAGATTAAAGAACATTTTTTAAAGACCACAATATATTCACCATTCTTGTCCATAGTTGAGGTCAAAAGCATATGAAAGTTTAATAATCTTTTCCACGGTCACATTCATGTCAGTAAATTTCAATTTCAACTGATTTCTTTTAATGTTTGTAGCAAATAATGTTCCTACTGAATTTCTGGATGCTTATCTCTTGTCAGCATCCTTCACCTGAGTTAGTCTGTGAGAAACTGAACAAAAACATCTTAAATTAGTAATCTCTAATTGCATGAATCAACAAACAAGGCCTGTAGATTAGGCTGCAGGGGTCAAATACTCTAAGCAACTGTCTTTTTCCACTTACCTGATGTTTTTTCATGAGATTCTGAGCAGCACTGAGAGAATTACCAAGATCTGTATTGGTAGCAGTCGGTCGTTTTTCTTCAATCCAGGAGAGTTCATCATCTACATCTCGATAAAACTGATACATTCGTAACGCCTCCTCTAGATTGTCTCGTCTGATATGACATGGTTCACTTAGAGATGTATATCTGTATGTATAATACAAAACGTTTGTGGCAAAAGTTTACAAAATCAACAACATTGTAAGCATGTTACATGAAGAATCACAAGACAACTGTCAAAGTGCTTTTGTACCTAAAAACTTAAAAGCGTGCAAATGAAAAGAGTAGAGATTTGATGGCTTTCAAATATCAAAATGGTGTATTGATGAAAATATGAATTTTTCTTCCAGTATTTCTCATAAAGATCTAATTGTATTGGTATTATAGTTTTTAAAACAGAATATTAATCTACAATTTTATAAAAGCATATGGATGTTTTTTTGTTAAAAAATAATAAACCTACCTGTCTGAAATCTCCTTTGATCTGGCTTGAAGTTCAGCTTTTAGGAAATGTTTAGCTTCTTTAAATACCTGTACAGCATCCATGACATCTTGAACCTTTTCTTGATGATTAGATATATCTTGTTCTAATTGCTGAAAATAAAAAAAAAAATACATTGAATATTCATTTTCTCCAAAATTTTCTTTGGAGAGGAAAGCCTATGAAATACAACACATCTCCTGAACATAAAGGATCAAGGCCTAACTCAATTCAAAATGATTGCACTATGGCTTCCTAGATTTTTTCAATGTCCTGCCATCTGGCCTTAATTTGTGTGGTTTGTTTCACCATTGAGGAAGAAACAACTATGTTTCAAATCACATAAAGTATTGGAAAATCCACAATTTACCTGATGTTTCTTGAGTAAATTATTAACAGACGTCAAATCCTTCCCATGATCTTCTGATTCAAGTTGATTTTCTACTTCATCCATCCATGACATTAGATCATCTGCCACACGGTTGAATAGTAATGCCTATAACATAGTGTATTAGTGTTGAAGTGAATAAATAACATCCGATACCCTAAACTCCAGAGTAATATGACTTAACATAACAAGACTTAACATAACAAGACTTAACATTGTTAAGTAACAGTCGCTTTACCATTTGCTCAGGTATACATCAATTAAATATGTGACCTGTAGGGAGGCTGCTTGAGTTGAAAGACTTAACTTAAAAAGATTTCAGTCATCTGATTGGTCAATTGATTTTAAATTCATTTTGATGATATATCAGATTATGTAATTTCTTTAAATCTGGAAATTATCTTAAAAACTAACTATCAAAGCCACAATGCAATACATTTAAACTTACCTGATAAGCATCTTGAAGTTTATCTTTCTTATCCACACTGGCTGCTAACAAAGCTTCCCAACTCCTCTCTAGTTCTTCCAGACGTTTTTTTATGTCTGGTTTGGAATAATGGTCACCATCTATTAATCCTTGTCCTTCCTGAAAAACAGAATTTAGAGAATATAGCTCTGTGTTCATTTTCCCCTTTTTTTAAATCAGCACATCACACTTTCTGTCTCCCCTTCAGTGACATGTCAACGACAGAACTCTTCATTTTGTGCCATTAAACACATGGATTTTATCTTAGACTGCTGAAAGTCATTCAGCATCTTTCAGAAGCGCTCAAAAAATCACATAATCATGAAAATCTTCTGCAGAAAATTTATCCTCTGCAAAGATGGCTTTTGTGAGAATGGTTGGTATAGATCTAATGAATACGGGAAACTCTCATGACAAAGCTTTTTCCAGACCTGAATAAAGACCATGATTTTGTAAAGGAAGTCAGACGAATCTAACATACCTGAACCACAGCATCAACTCTATTTCTATTGGCTGCTAATTCAGCTTCAAAAGCTTGATGTTTCTGTAGTTTAGCTTGAAGGTTGGTAGGGTCTCTGTAAGATTCATCTAATGCTACTTGTAACTTTTCATTCACCCATCCAGATACCTGAAATTTCAATTCTATGTCAGTGGGCTGTGTTTAATGGCAGGAATCTTATAATGACATCAGCATAGGCTACATAAGAACATTTGTATTTCCAACTTTCAAGGTATTTGTCAAGTACACAGACAACAGAAACAACAGAACCAACAGATACCTTTTCCATGTCAGACACTCAACTATATATAAGTTAAGAGTCTTCAAACTGTAGAATATTCTCTTTTTTGACTCACACTCCTGATCAGTGCTAGCCTGATGTCCTGATGTAGATTTAGTATCCAAAACATTCCCCCATGGGATAAGATAAGCTCTAGTTAATTAGAGAATGCAGGAAATGACTAAGCTACTTACCTCATATAAATTACGTAAGAAAACTTGATAGTTATGAGATTCTTCCAGTTTTTTACGTTTCAGGGATGAGAGTTCCCACATCTTGTCACGTCTGCTTAAAACAGCCTGACATCTTTTCTTGATCTCATCTTTAGCATAATGCTCCTTCTCGCACAAATCACCAGCAAACTGTTTTAAATCTTCCACTCGGTCTTCTTGAGCCTTGGTTGATTTCTCAAAACCTTCATGTTTCTTGATTAATCCTTCTACACTATATAATGTATTCTGAAACATAGAAGAGATTCAACTTGACATTAAAAGAGCTGGTTATGAGTTTCGGCTCTTTTGAAACATGAAAAGCACTATCTGTCCAAGTAAAACACATTTATTCAAAGTCTAAAATCTACCAGTTCTGTTGCAGAGTTGTTTTTGGTGAATTGGAAATGTGAAACTGAGCTAATGAAAGCAGAAGCTAATAATAATAATAGCTAAGCGTCAGATTCTGTTAACATCTGCAGATCTAGTAAAAGAAATGAGGTTGAAGGTTCAAATAGTGTTTGTACTTACTACATGTGTCATTTAAAAAAAAAAATAGACAGTGATGGTAGAGATTTTTCATTTTAGTAGAAAAGAAATTTTAATGATACTTACACCCAAATCTTCATTAGCTAAGAAAGCTTCTTTAGTTCCTAGCCATGTATCACATTGTTCAGCTGTCTCTTTAAATACCTACAAAATATAAATAATTTTCTAATATTAATAGATAAAAAAACACATTGCTTGTGATGTATCATGTCTGATGGGCATTGTGATTTAATTTCCAATAATTCTATATATTTTAAATTTGAACATGGAATGTCAATTGCAAAGTGGAATCATATTTTCATACATTGATGTCAAAGACATACATTTCAAAGCTATCAAACAAGACCACCAAAAGACATAACCAATTCAAAAGCCCTATTACACATAGAACAATTCTGTTACCTACCTGTAAGTCATGACATTGTGTAAGTAGATAGTTACGTTTATCCCAAGTACCGTTGAGAGATAACTTAGTTTTATCTAACTGTGATATCATCTTCTGTATATCATCACTAGCGTAATGTTTATTATTTACTAGGTTCATACCATGTTCTCGTATCGTAGAGAAATGAGTTTTTCTACCATCTATTTCAGCCTGAAAAACAAAGGAGTTTATATCTATACCTAACACAGTGGAAACGATCAGTTGGTAGAGATTTGGATTGCTGTCCACTGCCAGTACTTCTGAAAATAATGTCAGCTTTCAACCCCTATCACCATATATGGTTTGTAGTAATTATAAATCTGACAATATCAAAATTGAAATCCCTACCTTCCTCTCATGATGCATCTGTAAAAAGTTTTCAGCTTCTGCTACGTCTTTAGCTAGTTCACCAGCATTCATTCTGGCTATCATTTCATTAGACCAAGACACCTGCAATTAATTACAGACAATACAGCAAAGTCTTACAAAATTCAATAAGTTCAATTAATCACAGTAAAAAAGAAAAAAATCAGTCATATCATCCAACAACAAAAATCTGTATTTCAGAGAATATATTCATAATTCTATTTTCTGCTATGCATTTGACATTTAACCTAATTGACTAATTCGTCCTTGATGATGCGATTCATTTCTGAGACATATGGGAATCAAAATAGGAAGGTTATTCACATCCTAGGATACTTTGAAAAATTTTTAAAAACTCACCAATTCTCTGCCATCTGATAAGAATTTCTGTAACTGGTAGGAATCTGATAATTTGGCTTTTCTGAAATTAAAAAATAATGGAATAAATGTTAAACAAATATATTTCACCAACAAGTGAAGGTTGTATTTAGTTTGTCAGTAATGTAAGAGCTATATTTATCCTTGGAAAGTTTGAGAGGTAAAATATTCTAGAGCCAGACACTGACCTTTGATCAGAAAGATCTTCCAGTCTCTCCCAGTTATCTTCAACTTCCTGCTTTTTAGTATTGATCATTTCTACTTTATCTCTATACTTCTGACATAGTTTTCCAGCTAACACTTCTGTTTTCTGAAATACAAATGGTAAACTGTTTAACAAATCACCAGTGAGACTTCTTTAATAATACAAATTAAATTGTAATATAGGAATTTTAAATGTGCACCCCCTATAACCAAACTTTATGAGTTAATATATAATAGACACCAATGATTAATTATGGGATAATGCGTTTTCCAAGTCAGACAATAAGATGTTTCTGTTACCTCTAATTGATTCTGTAAAGCTGTCATATCTCGTTCAATATCTTCCTGTTTACGTTGTAGAGCTTCAACAGCTGCTAGATCTTTACCTAGATCTTCTACAGAGAGGAGAGTTGCCTTCTCATTGATACGATCATTTAGATCATCTATATCACGATTGAATGAATGTATCTCTAATGACATAGACAGTTGTTGTTTGTATTTGTTCAGATCACCCTGTAGTGCTTGCCATCTGAATTATAAAATAATAATTTGTTATTTTACTAGTTTTAAGACAGCTGAGTTATTGGAATAAACAAGTTGGTATTTATTACCTAAGTGTGAAAATGCCTACAGAATGCTTGCTTAGAAGAGAAATGAAATAAACGAAATTGAGTAAAGTCAAGCAGAGAGCAACAAGGACAATTTTTTCCAAGGAAATCAGTATTCCACAGATTTTTAATAGTTACAGCTGGAGGCACATTTGGCCTTGAATTTTTAGTCCATCAGAAGTCTAAAAACATTAAGTTTTGGCTTTAATGAGATGCTCCTTGGACTAATTCTTTCTAAACCTCCTCTTATAAAATCCTGAACACAAACAGAACAAATTTTTTGTAAGCGTAATTTAAGGTATAAAAGATTTTGTTGTGACTTACTTTTTGTTCATATCATCACGTTTATTTTTAACAGCCTTGGTATCTGTATGTCCCTGTGATATTAGTCTATCAGCTAGTTCATTGATTGATTTAATACGTGATTCATCTACTGTTATACCCTGTATAGATATAAATATAAAACATTTAGTATTAAAACTCCAATCTGCAGCATGTACTAAATTAACATCAAAAGCAGTGTACCGGTACTGAAAAGGGTCAGAGTTAACAAACTCAAGTCATTACCAGTAAATGGCATCAGGTGTACTGTTCCCTGCATTGCTGAGATAATAATGTCTACAATGGTCCAAAGTTAAAGCATAATTGCACTTTGAAATCAAACTGCGTGGTATTAAACATTTTGAAAATACCAAAAACATTAACCACAGGAAAGTGGTTAAACTACAGTAAGTATATCTCCACAAATATTGACATTTCTCATTGGCTGCAGACATTTTCCAATACTTACAGCTGACTCGATATCATTGGCTTTCTTCTGTAGAGCTAAACAATGTTCATAATCTCTACCTAGATCACCAGCTTGTACCAATAATTCCTGAAAGTATACCAATGGAATCATAAACTATTTTTATTTGGCATCTTTAATGAAAATTATCATACTAATCTCCGTTCAGAATTGATTTTTTCCCCCATTCCGCAAATGTTCAAAACTTGCAATTACATCCCATTTGTCACAGATTGTCTTTCGTTTCACAATGTCGTTAAACATTGGTAATGAACAATGATTTTTTGTTTGTTTTGGGCAGGTAACAGGTATGTGATTGACTAAGTGGTAAATTCTCTCTGTGTCAAGTCTTACCTTCTCTCTGATCCAAGCTTCCACTTTCTCAACTTGTTCATTGAAGAGTAAAATATCTTTAGCCTCTCCAAGACCACGTCCACGATTAGCAGATGCTTTCAATAATTCATTCCATTTAGATCCTAGTCTTTGTGAAACTTGTTTGATTTCTGGACTGGCTTTATGGTTCTTCTTCACAAGATAATCACCATTCTTAAAGAAAGAGAAAAGGGAGTTACATCTTAAATCATAAGCAACAAAAATAAGGTTGGTAAGGTGCTGCCAAAAAATCTTTCATTTGGTTGGAATCGAAGATGAATTCTATGAAAAGGCAATATGGGGTGATTAAGACAGCACCTCCTGGCATCCTCTTTTCTATTTTCAATTGTTGAGCTATAGAGATAATAAAGCATAGAATTCTGAACATGATTGACAATGGAATAGCTGGTTGAAAAATCTGAAGGTAAGCTACAACTTTGGCCTTCAATTTAACCCAAACAACTACACTTAAACCTAGTGAACTGTCTTCTGCTTTGGAATCAAATGTTGTGCCTTAATTAAATGCTTTAGAGAATACCCAAATGTCAAGTTACCTTTTTGATTTCCTCAATTCTGGCAGTGTTAGCCACAATCTCAGCTTCAAATGCCTGATGTTTCTGTAATTTCTTCATCTTATCATGGAGATCTGTTGAATTCTGGAAATCATCTTCATACGCTACTTTCAATTTATCATCTATCCATCCTTCAGTCTACAGTTGAGATATATTATCATATTATTAGGAAAAATCTATTAACAACGCCTAGGGGATTAGGAGCAAAGGATTTAATTCTTCCTCAAAGTGAGAACAATTTCTGATGTCACAGCCACAGTATGGCAAAGAATTCAAGAGACTAGACAATGTCTATACCTATTAGAATCCTCTTATAACACCATAGAAGTGATTATTTGATGGGACAGAAAGATGACAGTATGACTCAAAATGTGAAGAGATGTTATTATGTCTGGTAAGTCATGTTAAATCAACCATAATTTTGCTTTGCTGCAATATTTTACTAAGAACCGATATGTTGATATGTAGGGATAAACAGGGCTCCACAGTATATACATTTAATTAGCCTGTTTGCTATATACATCAACTGACCTCTTGTACATCTCTATTAAACTGAGCATAGATTAGATTATCTGATAACTGTCCCTTTCTTAACTCACTCTGATTCTTAATCTGTTTACGTCTGAAATCAAATGTAAATGGTATTATTAGCAAAACCAATGTATAATTAAAAGATTTGTAAAGATGTTTTCAAAATCTTATGTTTATTGGGAGCACTTATGCCTGTGGTTCCACCAAATCTAAGCACTTTATGACGTTTATATTGCAAAAACATTAATAAAATCTAAGTGCCTTGCAAGAGTGATATTATAAAATGCTTAGTTTTAGTGGAATTGCAAGAACCACAAACATCTGACTGAAAATTGGAATGATACTATCAGTGTTTCCATTAAGTATTTATTATTTCATACAAGGAGATCAAGAGAGAACCAATGCCTATTCAAGCCTGATCATCATTGTGAAATCTGATATATCTAAGGAAAGACAATTCCATCAAGCACTTAAAAATTAAGATACTCTATAGCCCTAAAGTCCTGTGCCTGTGCTTTCGTAACATCACTTAACTGCAATGTTACAACCAAAAATTCCTGACTGTAGAACTGTAGAAATATTGGAAAAGTGGGGAACAGTACCTGTTTGTGACGGCAGTCATAGCTTTCTGAACACTTTCAGCTTGTATATGATTCTCTTTAACCAGCTGACTTCCATGATCAACAATGGCTTCAAGCTGAAATCAAATCAGAGTTTTAAAAGAGAAAATGATTTGTATTATACATCATACTAGCCTGTAACTTACATAGCAACTAATGATTGATAAGGCTATAAAGAAAGAAATCAGAAGCATTTTAAGTATGCAACCATTTTTACAAGGATAAATTTTAGATTCACAAGGATCTTTTCTACCAGCTGATATTAAGCTAAACTTCTTGGCATTGATCTTTCCTGAATTTCAAGAATGCAATCAATTTTTGACAAGGATAGTAATTAAGGTTCACAAGGATCCTTTCTACCAGCTTCTCCTTGGCAAACCCTCTTGGAATTCATCTTTCCTCAAGCTCGATCATAACGTTATAATAATGTCAGAACAATAAACAAATTTTCTATGAAATGTCTTGAACTCTTTTTACTTAATAATAAGTTATATCAACTAATTCTCAAATTAAACAAACCTTTTCATCTTGAGCTTCAACAATTTTCTCAAATGCGTCATGTTTTCGTTTTAATGATTCAACTTGGTAGATGTCAGTTCCTAGATCTGCATTGTTTAAATAGGCCTGAAAAATTCAAATAACACATTACTGATGGAATTAGTTGGTAGAACAGCATAATCAAGATGGTTTATGGCGATCCCAAAATTAGACTGGATCAAATCTAACATCTTCAGGCTATCAAAGATGAAAGTTTCCTTTCCCTCCTGCTCTGTAGATCTTATTTCAACTTATGCATTGTGAGAAAGTCAGAGTTGGTTTGCTAATCATGTGTTAAGAAAAGTTAATCATCTTGTTTATCTGTTATGTATATGTCAAGCCTGTGTATTGAGAAACTAGTCTTAACCCAATATAGTGTTGTGTCATAGCCTCGAGAACTCAATATGTATAAAAAATATTCTGGATATAGACGTTACCTCCTGAGAACTGCTGATGGTTTCCAGTTGATTGGCATCTCGTAAGAAAATATGGAAATCACACAGCTGATCATAGTAACCTTTTCTATCCATCCACGTCTGTAATAATCTATCTCGGAGCTCAACCACTTGGTTCACCTTTTCTTTGACCTGAAAACCAGGAACAATCATCAGCATCTAACAAGATTGATGCTCTGCCACTCTTCAACAAAAATTAAGGTATTCTACCTCATAACTAAACATTAACAACTGAAGCCTTGTATAATTAAATCCAAAAAACTAATTGAAAAACGATCAAAATATTTAGAGCGCTATTCTATGACTGGTTGTAGTTAGGACAAATGCTCAATTTTAGTAAGATCATCAATTAGTAGTTCCTTAAAAAAAAGTAATCAAATCCTACCTCTGGAGAAGCGTAATGCTTATGGACAATCATTTCATTTCCTGTTTTAATGATGTCATCAAAAGTATCTCCATGAGCCTCTATTTCAGCCCGAATTTGATCGTGTCTGTTACGTAACATATCCACACCATGAACATCTCGAACTGTGTGTTCAGCATTCATTTCTGATTCTATTTCTTTAGCCCAACTCACTAAATCTCTCACCTAGAAGTAAATTAAGATAAACTAAATAAATTTGAAAATCGCCTTTTAAAAAATTGGGTTTACTATAGCCAGGTTTGGAAGAAAGTTGCATTTTGTAATGGCCAAGCTGTAATGTGAATGGTTATAACCCTTTATTGGATAAGTCACTTACAGACTAGCAACATTCAATTAAATGTAACCTTTTATCCTTTCTGGGCTATACATAGTCTAAATTCATATTTAGATTTCCAACCGTCTAAGGATCTTTCACATGTACAACACAGCCTGGAGGACTAGGGAACTAATCATTATTCTGCTGTATTCTAAATTCAAGTAATTCCACAAGCAGCAAATTGACCCAACTCGGTCATTGAAGTACCTGTCATACATAAGTAATAGATACTTACGGATGCTCTAAATTTATGTAAATCAGCAGCTGCCAAAAGTTGTCCTTTCCTTTGATCAGAACGTTCTGTAAGTTGGCCCCATCTATCAACGACTGTAGCTTGGAACTGGGCTATTTGTTCAGCGTTTTCTCCAGGATAGGCTTCTTGTAGTCGATTGGAATCCTCTATCAATATTTGAAGCTAAAATAAAAGAATAAATATCAAGCTCTGTCAGCATCAAACAGCATTACAACCTGGTTATTATTAGGCAATTAAAGACCACCAATACAAAAAAACATCCAGAAGGGTTTTAAAAGTCATCAGTGTTTGATCTAGCATAATACATAATACATCTTTGATGTACATAGAAGGTGTAAGATAGAAATTTGTCGGAAGTATTTTGCATTAACAAATTTTATACATCCGCAAAAATTGATCGTAAGATTTTTTGAGAAACAGCCCAGTTTTTTTATTATCACATTTTTACAAAATGCCTGTAAGTGAAAATTCCTGAAAACATTGTGGAATTGGAACCAAGGTTTAGAGCATAAAAAGACAGAGCAACAGTTACCTGAGCTTCAAGAGAGGCCAATTCATTTTCAAAAGCTTCATGTTTCTTTAAAAAGGTCAAGGTCGCATTGTAATCTCGTCCCACGTCGTCTGGTATACTGTCATGTTTCTCTTGTATCCTTGACAACGCATCTTCAACATCACGATTAAATCTATGGATCTCTTCAGCACCTTTTAGTTTCTGATTCTTGGATCTGATTTGTTCCATCAAGGCATTCCAGGCATCTCTGAAAAACAAATGTACATACATTTAAAGGACGAAGATTGGCATAGCTCACTGAAGGTAAGTAAGGAGTTCAAGGCTGGATAAAGTGTGCCAGTCATCTATTCGACACCCTTCAACTTCCTACTGAACTCTTCCACACATGCATTTTTTCTATCAATTAGAAACTGTATCTGCATGAAAGGAAGAGTTTATCTGTAAAATAAGGGGTTTTTTTTTGTTGCCTGTCAAATTTTTATCCAGTCTACAATATCCAGCATGGTGGAATATGGTACAAACTGTTTCAAAATGTAGCAAGTGGTGCAAAAAGTCGAACTAAGGCTGGAACATTAAGAGAAGAAGATAAGCTTACTTGAGTTGAGCCTGTCTCTGTTGAACTTGTATGGTATGTGGACCTTTATCATCTAACAGATTCTTAGCCAGTCTTTCAGTTCGTTTATATCTCTCACTACCAGTCTCTATCTGACGTTTAAATTCATCAAATTTACTGCGTAGTATCTGAAATAAATAATATAATCTGTAATGCTAATGGTAAAATATGTGGCCCTTTCACTTTCTGTTTGTCACTTTGGATAAATTTTCATGTAACAAACAGAGTGTAACCTCTTATTTCTCTGAAATCCAACATCAAATATAGACCATAAGGACAATATTAAACACTGCTTCATTCATTGACAAAATATTTCAGTTCAGAATAAGCTCACCTCAAAATGCTCAAAATCTTGTCCATATTCCTCTGAACTAGCTGTTTGATGCTGTTCCACAATCCAATCTTCTAGATCATCTGCTTCTCTCATATATTCATTTAGATATACAGATCTTTCTAGATTCTTAGTTCTATCTGCTGCTAGACGTTTCAGTTTACCTAGATTGTCTTGTAGTTGATCCTAAAATAGTATTACAAAAAAAATAACCTAATGTTTTGCATCTAGATTTTCCCTCTGAATAGTAGCAGAATTCTGAAAAAAATAGTGGTTTAACCAAAAAAAACAAAGACGCTTGTTCTTACTAAAGCTGCAGTGCATCTAAAAGTCGGTCCAATGTCAGACCACATGAGCAATAAAAGTTTTACAACTAACCTGTGTTTTCTTGATAAAGGTGGGGTCAGCACAACCTATTTTAAACAATCTGGAGGATTCTTTACCTAAACCAGACACAATTCCTTGGTACGTCTGTATGTCTGTTTCAAGCACCTAAATTAATGTTCAAATATTGATTTAATGACAATTAAATAAAAATGCAGAAACATCAAATGTCCTTCAATAGTTACAAATGCTATCAAGATAAGATAAATTTCTAAATTTGATCAAATCTAATAAAAAAAAACATAAGAGTATTATATTGATCATCTTACATCAGTTTTTTCTGAAAATTAACAGATCTTTTCATGTTTTGTAGAAATTTTTTTCCCATATCCAATACATCAAGAGCTCTTCATAAAGAAGGAGGAATGAACCTACCTTATTCTTAGCCAGTAATTTGTCTGCTGCATTTTCATCTTTACCATAATCAGTACTGGAGGCTAATAACATCTTTTCTGCTATCCAAGCATCTACTTCAGCAACTTCAGATAAATACTAAAGAGGACAGAAACAGACAATTGAAAGATGATGGATTAACTGGCAAAATTAAGATAAACAACAGAATATCTACGACAAAAGCTCTTAGAATAAAATACTTAAGTCTCTGTTAAAAGGTGTCTTCTTACTTCTTTTATTATACATCAACAAAATATCCAAATAGCTTTGACCGTAGTTTGAAGCGTTTTTTTTAAGCTCTTGTTCTCCTGTTTGTGACCTTATCTTGCTACTTCCGGCAATGATGAGCACCTTTGTATTCCGCATCCAAAAATTACAGGATTGGTAAACAGATATATTACCAAAGAAACACATCTGATTAGGAAATTTCAAAACAACTCAAAAGATCAGCCAATATTGAGCACCATTTGTAAATTGATTCATTACCTTCTGTTGTTGAACTGAGATGTCTAGGTTCTTCTTTCTATGTTTAGATTTTTTAATCAGATCCTCCCAAGACAATTGAAGTTCCTGAGATTTGTCTTTGATTTTCTTGGAATCAGAATGTTTATCTTCTAGAAGTTTCTCTCCAGTAGATAATACTTTATCTATATTGGGCTGATGACCTTGTATTTCTCTATCCAGATCCTGTATAAAAAGAACATGAATGGTCAAATTAATGAGAGATTCTAACTCAAGACTACCAGCTGCACAAGCTCTTGACCTTGTTTCTTGCTGATTGGAGCAAATCTTATATGGATCATCAAGCAACACTCAAAAAAGAACTTTTTACTCCATACAATACACTTTATGTTACTTTCTATATCACAGAATGTACATGAATAGCCTAAGAATCAAATAACTAAAAACTTCAAATGGAATGATATAGAACACTCGTATCATTTTTGAATTTTGAATTTAACCCAATACAAATGGTAATTACTATTTGCAACTGGGAACACTTTAAGTAACAAACAGACTACAGACTACTGTTAAATTCAGCATCTTATACTAACTCAAGTGATCTCAAAGAAGTTTCAAAGACCTAAAGTTTCCCTACCTGATGTTTTTTCTGTAATTTCTGGGCGTCTAGTAGATTTTTACCATAATCTGTAGAACTAGCTGCTGGTAGGTGTTCTTTAATCCAGGATAGTTCACTATCAACATCAAAATTAAACTGGTGTCTCTTTTGAGATTCTTGTAGAGCTGCTTTACGATTTTCTACTTCTGGTTTTAATTTGTTAAATCTAAAAACAAAACATTACATGTTATGTCTTTGATAACAGAAAGAAGATTTGGCGAAGGCCATTTCATTAGATGGTTCCATTAAAACTCAATCAATTAAGAAAAAATTACTAAAGTAAGTCTAAAAGTTTAAAAGTCTAAAAAAGGAATCTACTATGGTACCAACTTAAATTTGGTCTTTTATTTGAGCCCAATGTGAAATGATATTATCAACTGAAAGCATTGGCATTTGGTTAATTTTGTTCCAGGAACCATAGTGGCAACCTTACCTGGTATTAAAGCCATCTACAGATTTAATGATATTAGCTGAATTGAAATGTCCTTTCTGTGCCATATCTTTACTCTGACTGTTTAATGTGGCTATAGATTTTTCTAAACCAGATAAATCATTCTCTAGATTCTGTAAATAAATAGAGAAATTACGTAAAGTTTAATAAATAGAGGATAGAAGAGTATGATTACAAAACATAACATTATTGATATCCCACAGAGTCCCGTTGTTGTCAGACATTTTATCTACCATTTCTTTTATGTCTGCCAAAAGAGATAATTCAAAAATCCTTGCACCCAACATCCCCAACTACCTCTAATGAGTAAAATCGACAAAGAAATCGTCTTCCATTAAAAAAATTGCTAAATAGATTTGATGAGAAATGCATACACAAAATCACTGAATAACATAAAATTGTTGCAGAATTTTCTTGAAGAAAAATAACTAAATGTACTTTTTCAAACTGATTTTAAAATAACACAATTACTCACCTGATGCTTCTTGAGGAGCTGTTTGACACCTCTCAAATCAGATCCTAGATCATTATTAGCATTAGATTTCTCCATTTCATTCAATTTATCCTGAAACAAAATATAATCCATGAAACTTTCTTTCAAAGTAATATTGGATGACTTTTTCCACAATCAGCTTCTTTTTTATTAAGACAGAAAAAATTTCAAATGTAACATTTCATATTGAGATCTCAAGCTGAGACACCCAGTGTCAGCCAGTATGAACCACAGCGGCACTGAAGCAATAATTCCAAGTTCAGCAGCAAAGGAATAATAATCATCTACTGTACCTGTGCATCATCTAAAGCTTGATTCAGTGAATGTTGTTGACCAGCTTCACGTAGTTTATTTCCCTTCTCACCAGCTTTAGATGCTAAATCATTCCATTCTGAGTTCAGTTTATCTTTGATTCCTTTTATTTCTGGTGAGGCATAATGTTTATCTTTGATCATCTTATCACCAGACTGAAAAAACCCCAAAACATTTCAAAATAGCGTCGGTGTTAAGCCAACAAACAGCAACTTATGTTCAAGTGAAGCTTATCTACCAGTGGGTCCTTGGCCAACTTTCTTGATATTGATCTTCAGTTTCATCTATACTCATTTACAGGTGAGTCAAACGGAACAATCGACAAAGATAAGAGCCAAAGACCACCATTAGTTTGACGTAACCAAGCAAATGACGTCATGAACAGTTTCAACAACAGGACAGTAAATGCCATGGATATTCTACTTATTGAATTTCTACTGCAAGGACCATTAACTCAGTATCCTTCATTACTGCCATTTCACTACATCCATGGAATCATAAAATAGAAAAGCTAGAGTGACCAGGTTCCAGACCACCACTACCTACCTGATTCAATGACTGAAGTCTGTCACTATTAGCTTTTAACTCAGCTTCAAATGCCTGGTGTTTCTGCAGTTTTTTCTGTAAATTCGCTAGGTCACGATATGACTCATCTGTAGCAGTTTTATATTTCTCTTTCATCCAATCAGATAACTGAAAATAAATCAAAGAATTAGACATTGCGATAATGAAGAAACTACGGAATGGATAAATTAGCTACATGAAAAGAAATGGAGTTTTATATCCTACTTTTCTGCATCTGTTTGGCCTAAATACAAGCAATGTGCAATGAATGAAATTTAACCAAGAAAACAGTTAGTTCTATTAATTGACTTATTTCTGTTCCAGTAATGATTATTGTTTCAGAAAGAAGATCTCACCTCTTCTGAATCTCGTTTAAACTGTTGGAAAGCTAGAGCATCAAGTAGAGCTTTACGTCTGTCTGCTGCTTTATCTTTAACACCAGCTCTACGATTGGTTACTTCACGACTTCGGTCATTGATACTGAAAAATTGATATTAAATCAGTAAGTCTGAGGCTAGTGAGAAAAAAAAACTGCCAAAACATTGTTCTCTTGTATGTCAAGATTGTCAATGGACCCATAAAATTCCAATGAGTTTACAAAAATAAGTCACCTCTTCTATAACTATGGATCTTTTAAAAATTTCTAAGAACCAAAGATGGCCAGATTATTATGCACTTCTGTAGTATTTGGAAAGAAAAAAATCACACAAAACAGACACATTCTGAATGCTTTCTTATCAGAAAAGAGAAGCCACAAAATATATCATAATTCTAAATGGAAATACTTACTGTTGTTGATTAGGGTGTTTTTCAGCTATCAGTTTTTCAGCCATTTCATTCAAACCTTGAACCTTCTCATCTTGAGCTTGTAGTTTATTCTCAAATTCTTCATGTCTCCTCAATAAACTCTGAACATCATCTACAGTACTCTATAAATATCAAGACGTAATTAACAAATTGTCTGACATTGTTCATCACTGACCAACAGAAGACATGGTCCCACTCTGCAGAAAGGTATGTCAACAAAAGAGTAGTTTTTGTACTCTTAATATAATAATAAACTGCAATAATGGGTTAAACAAGGAGCACCTTAGGCACAGGGTCACAGTACGGTCAGACGATTCTTTCGGGGAATGTTCTGTCCTACTTTTCTGCCTTTATTAAGACAGCACTCTTTCAGTAATTTCACAAAACTAATAATTCCACGATTTAAATGCATAAATATTTGGTGTCAATATGACATGGGGCCTAATCTTATAGTTAAGATAAAAATTATATGTACACTCTGAACATTTAAACCATTATTAAAAGGAGTTGTAAGAACAGAGCTTAAAAGTATATTAGAAAAAAATGCTAGTTGAAAAAAATGGCGTACTTACCCCTAAATCATTAAAATCTAAGAAAGCTTCATGACCTCTAGTTATAGCATCTATCTTGTCAGAATCACGATTAAATACCTAGAAAAAAAATAATAATAATAATATATAATATATATATATATATTGATCTGGAATATATATAGTTTACAGAACCTGAAACATGTTGAAACTCAAGAGTTTCACGCTGTGAAATCTTCTGAAAACTGGACTATTTGACTATGTGTCCCTACCGAAGTGTGACAAGTAGTACTAATTCTCGTGTTTTCAATTCAACAAATTTAGATCATTTGTTTTAGGAAGTGTGCTTAGAGGCATTTTTATGATGGAAAATTGTTCAGTTAATTACAGGTTCTATTGGATGTGCACACTTCTTTGAGGTAATGGAAATGAGTCTTCTAAGGGTAGAATGGCAGCCTTTGAGAGTACAGGTACCTTTAAACCAAGACTTTTTATTCTTAATGATAATTTTAATGTTATAAAAACACTCTTACCTGAAGATCATAAGCATCTTGAAGTTGTTTTTGTCTTTGTTTCCACAAATCATTAATTAATCTCTCTTCAGCTTGTAATCTTTCCATTTTTTCTTTGACATCTTTGGCATTCGGATCTTTAGAAAGGACTTCATTTCCTAATGCCTTAATCTTGACAAACCTACATAGATTAATAATTATCAGAAAGAATCAAACAAATTAATTTTCTTATCAAATACTTGTTAAAAAAAATTAACATAAAGAGTTATTAGATTTACTTATATTAGACTAATGAAATGATGTCTTCCCTCGGACTTTTCTGCACTTAATTGGTCTAACAAAGCAGGAACACACTTTGCATTGTACTATGAAGAAAAATTTGCAGCACAGTTTAACGGTGAGAGATTTTAGCATAGCCTGTTACCCAAGAGGCTTGTGTTAAGGTGAGGATTTAAAGGATAGAAAGCACTGGCCTTGGTTTATTTTACCATCTGAATGACAAAACATTTTTTCCAAGTAAGCTCCTCATATCAATTGACTTATCAAGACAGGCTGTCAGTGTGCAATGATGGGAAAACCTGTCTGGACTTTTTACAAGAAGGGAATTTTCTAATTTCAAGTCCTACAGAACAAATGACCTGGGTCTAATTTAGCATTCAAATTATAAGATGCTGTTTTCATGTCAACCACCAAAACAAATACTTACTTGTCTTTGTAAGCTGCTATATCTTCAGCTAAATCACTGTTCTCTTTCAGCATTCTTTCAGCACTCTTGATATCATGTGGCATTTCAGCACTAGCCAGCCTGGTTCTTACTGATCCAGACCATGATAGCTATAATAATAATAATAATAATAATAATAATGATAATAATAATAATAATGATAATTATAATAATAAATAATAAAACTTCCTCTTGTCAGGAGTACATTGGAGAAAATCAAGCAAAATTTGCAAATAAAAATGCCCTATAGGTTAGGCAAATAAAAAAGAAGAGAGTTTACACTTGTCACTTACCAAATCCTTGGCTTCTTCAGCAAATTTCTGTTGATTCTGTGCTTCATTTAGTTTGTTCTTTCTGGCATTGGCTCGATCCTAAAACATAATCAAATATGATGTAGACAAGTGGTTTAAACAGTACAAACAATCCAAACTGAGTCCAAAATCAAAACCCAAAATCTAAGAGGAAGTATTTCAATCATAAATGAATAAGTCTCCCATGTAGAATATCATTCTGTCATTCTGAAATGCGATATTTAATTCCCTAAGTAAGAACTGTAAAACAAGCTAACCTTAAGTTCCTTCCACAGTTTAAGTAGTTCCTTCTGTCGTTGATCAACATATTTTGTTTCTGTAGGATATGAACTCTTCACTCTGAAAATAATATTATGTATTATGCAAAAATATTTGATGCCATATAAATAAAATCTGTTAGGTTTCTGTATCCTATCTACAATATATAATGACTTTTTAGCCTATAAATTCTTATAATGATAACAATAAAGTCAATAAAGAATATATTATGATTACAATGAAAGAAAAATACATCTCAAAGATATATATTTTAATTGTTTTAAAAATAATGAATCTCATGGCCACATTCCTTGAAAATATTAAGAAAAATATAAATATATACTTACGAATCTCCCAAATAACACATTCTGTTCATTTTTTCTTCCATTGGTACCAACTCTCGTTCCAAATTCTGCAATTGAAATGTCATAAAAATAAATTTTAAAAAAAATTATAGAAATTTAGAATAAATAATATATTAATAAAAATATAAAAATAAATAAAATAAATAAAATGAATGAATGAATGAATGAATGAATGAATGAATGAATGAATGAATGAATGAATGAATGAATGAATGAATGAATAAATAAATAAATAAATAAATTATAAAATAAAATAAATAAATGAATAAAACTTACAGCATGTCTACGTTGAAGAGCTTGAATTGATTTTAAATCTTTTCCTATTTCTTCGTTAGCTAGGGCATTATCTTTTTCTTTAATCCACTCTTGAAGTTCATCACATGTAGCTTTAAATAACTCAATACTGTAGAAATAATTGAAATAAAGTTAGCACATGATTGGGCTAATGGAGATATACACTAATAGCATCCTACTACGGGCAATGTAGGACACTTTGCAAACTGAAAACAGGAAGTATGAAAAGCACAGGACCTCTAATAGTAAAATTAGTAAAACCTTTTTTTGGACCAAAGTCTCTCACCTTGATGCTCCTTGTAGTGACTTTTCCTTTTCTATTTTTAACTTATTCAAATGATTCCATCTAAAATGAAATATACTAATATTAGTGGGGGTAAGGATTAAAGGATGATGTGTAAAAGACATGAAAGCATTTTCATTTTGAATATTTTGCAATCTTGAATAATTCAGGATGACCATCTTATCGATCTTAACATAACGTATGACTAGCAAGCTCAATGGTTGGTTTTACCCTTCTGATTTATATACCAATATATCTTGGTAACAATATCTATCGTATATTGTTAATACATACTTATCATTTAAATCTTTCTGTCTTTGTTTGACTTTATCAGTTTGAGCACTTCCTGATTTAATAATATCAGTAGCTAATAGATTGATCTCATCTAATCTACCTTTATTAGCAGCAAAACTAGTCAATAAATTCTGAAAAAAACAAACAAAATGTAAGGTTTATATAATCTAAATCAAAGATATAGTCAAATGCTAGTTTTTTTTCCAATCTTATGTGGGCTTTTGAAATAAAAGGCTATTTCATAAAGTCTTCAGAATCCTTTTTAACAGACAATCTATCTACCTCTTGGCATCAGGCAAGTCCTAGTCAGAATGTTACTTTTATCTCAATGTTAGGTGAGAGTGGTTGTAACAACAATATCAATGTTAGGGTTCACAATCAGAAAGGTTAATTTTCATTCAAATTATAAGTTTTTAAAAGTATACAGACTACAGCATCAGTAGTTTTTGTTTTGCGATAATGTCTGCTAGGCATTGAACTTTCTTAGATACTTGTTATCGCTACTGAAAGATAGGTTTTCTGAAGTCAAGATCACTAGACTTAAATGCTTGCCATGCTCCCATGAGATACTACAAACCCAGGATAGCCAATTTTAACGTATGGTAATAAAATCATCTATCCAATAGAATGACCTTTTTTACTGAAGACAATAATTGTATAGATGATATAAAATATTTTGGGTCTGAATCAAAGCACAAATAAGGGCAATTTATTTTGACTCGTGGTCATTAGTGCTATATAAACCATACTTCTATTGTGTCCAGAACTACTTATCCTACTTTTTACAAAATAAAGTGCATTGTTTGTGTTTATGTTTTGAATCCTAACCCAGATGTACCTAAATATAATTACTTCACTATAATAGCCTCAACACAATGGATTTGTTTTTCGTTATTAGATAATTATATTTATACTCTGATATATTTATCAATTTTGTTCGAAGCGAAATTAATTGATAATGATTGATATTGAAATGAGGTCTCGTTGACTTCGGTCACGTTTACAGCTATTGTTAAATGGTAAAATCAAATATGTCTGTTTGTGGCGTGATCAATTGGATTTATACACCAATGATGCTGTTTTAATTCTTACATTTATATTCACTTATTTTCTCTATACAAAGCCTAATATTTTATGGTCTTTTTTCCCCAAATCTTAGACTGAATCATTGTTTCACATCAATGTGTTCATACATAATATTATCATGTGAAAAACTGTAGTTTATTGAGAAAAAACACCAGTTTATAGTAGGGAGTAGAAATGTAAATAGTCAACAATGAAGGCAACAGAATTATAAACAATCAAAGTTGGTCTATTTGTTTGCATTTACCGTACACCAGAACTAATTAAATGAAATGAAATGAAATGAAATGAATGGAGTTTTACGTCCTACTTTTCTGCACCATACGCCCAATTCATTTTAAAAAAAACTTACAAATATGATTTTTATATGTTTTTGCACCAAAATTCAATTTTTTGGAAAAATTTCTTGGAATAATCCTTTTATACTCTTCATGAGAGGCTTGAAAATATGATGCCTCCGTAGAATTGTTGCATTTTGAATTCACCTTCCTATTGAGCCAGTCTTCTCCCTATTTGAAACCCCAGTCTCAGGAGACTTTGGCTGCAACGGCTCAATTTTATAAGAATTCCACGAATTTATGTAATGATTATACTGCTAATGTTGTGTTTAGTCGTGTTAATTGGTTTCAAGGGAACAATAACAATGAGTTATAAACGATCAATGACATTAGAAAGATATATATAACCTTCTTCTCTTTCTGAATCCATGTTATGTATACATTTTATATTTATTGTGTTACATGTTATAGTAAATATTGTTAAAATCAATAAGATCATTCTAACTAATTAGCAGGATTATAGATTTCTTGAATTGAAGATCTAATCAATATACATCAACAATGAAAGTTTCATCCAAATCTAATCAAAACAGCATTGTTACATGTTCACAAGCCAATTTTGACTTCTTTTAGCGATGGCAATAACTTATAATATTTGATATGAGCATTTTATAATATGGAATGGTATGATAATTAAGACAAGGTAAGAAATAACATAATGAAGGTAATTGGAGGATAAAATTAAAAAAGATATATGTATCTATATCTATATGTATACTAGTGATTCAACCCTTCGTATAGATTACTATGTTAATCATATAATGACCCTTACTGATATTTGACATGAAAGGTAGTAACTGTAAGGATCTGACTTGTTTTATTTTAATAATAAAGACTAACACTTCTGACAGCCAGGTTTCAATTTTTAATAATTCAATTCTATATACTATAAAATTATTCATGTTCGTGGGGGATCAGTAAATCCATAAATTTATGTAAAATTCCAATAAATCTTAGCGTTTAAGGACTTCAGTATCTCAAATGCTACCTAAGATATATAAAAACCACAGAAGACTGAAAAATGGAATGGTGAAAATCGATGCTATCACATATCAAATGACATTTTATCAAAGGTGTGTTCATCAATTCAACCAATCAAAAGCTCTGGGCAGTAAGTATTTAACCACCATTTATAGAGAATCCCGGGATATCTAACAATGATGCATACTGTAAAGTTACCTGCCATGATTGATTTGATGGTTAACAAAAATTATTATTTTAATTGCATCTACAGATAAATTTGATTCAAAATGTTGTCAGATCTTAGAATAAGTTAAGTAGCCCACAGAATAATAATGGAAACAAAATATAGTATGTAATCTATTTAGTAATATGTTACCTCAAATTTCTTTCTCACGGCATCCATGTTGTCAGCTAAACTTTCACGACTCTCCAAAACTTGTTCCTACAAAAAATAACAAAACAATTTTAAGAACTTCTGAATGTAAGAAAGAGACAAACATTTTTTACAAGGATGACAAATTAGGTCCACAAGGACCCTTCCAGCTGGTCAGATTATTCAGACCCAATTACAGCTAGTCAGATTATTCAGACCCAATTACAGCTGGGTGGACTGGAATAATGGGAAAATTGAGCTATTCAAGGTCACCAGATTGCACATGCAATCCAAGATAAAAACCCACGACAACTATTGTTCGAAATCATATCATGCAAAAAAGGACTATGCCACATAATGTGGATTTTTCTAAAATATTCCAGTTAAAACTGATTGAAAACCTTCAATAAAACATTCTAGACAATTTTTTTTTTTATAATTTCCAAAGCAATCAAGATAAAAAAAACTGCTTGTTGTTAAAACTTTCCTGGAGGCCTAAATTTTCTCTCATTTTGAGCTTCAATCAAACACGACTGGCAAATGACAAGTAGTAAATAATAACATAAAGATTCATAAATATAAAAGAATGAAATAAATATGCCATAATGCCAATCATTAAATTAGAAGCGAAAATCTGTCATTATTCAGAAAAATATTCTAAAAATAGAATCAGAATTATATCTCGTAAACATGCAATCAAAATATTTGTTTACTTTTCATAAATAAAATATTATAATGTCAACAAAAATTAATTAGTTTTTCCTGAACAAACGAAATCATAGTCAAACAAGGGAAGTAATCAAGCCTAGGGTCGAAGTTAACTCCATATCAGATTATTCAACAAAGCTTTGTTAATAACAGCCAATGGCAAATGTTTCTAATCACCATGCAACACAGGATAGCCATGTATATACCCTGAATATTACGCGAGTATTGCCTATGAAACATGTTTTAAATTCACAGCCTCACAGAAGTTATTCGGTTAGAGTGAGCCATGAACCCATCTTTTTATCTTTTTATGGATCAAGGGGCATGGTTTTAATGAGGATGATTGTTCCCTAGATTTCAATTTTTTCACCAAACATTGTAGTAAGTATTGCTCTTTCAAAGTCCAAAGTTCAAAATTACTTTGCAAAGGCTCCTTTTATAAGACATCAGATATGAAATGAATGAAGTTTTATGTCCTAGTTTTCATGCAGGGTGCAATGAGGGAAATTTTGCCAGGATAGCGACATTAGCCTGCTCTTTTTCAATTCCAACAGTCGAGAGATCTTTAACGTGCACAGCCTGTAGCACATGGGGGGGAGGGGGGGGATGCCTTTGGTTTATTGTCCCATCACTAGATGCTTTTCCAAGTCAGCCCCTCTTACCCGCATCACTGACAGGGGGAAACCGGGTTTAAATATTCCAAAGGTACAATTCTCCCGACCTATGCCAGGATTGAACCCTGGACCTTCAGGACTCACTAAGCCACTGTGGGTCCCTCCATTTATAAGACATACAGATATGTGCATTAATATGAGCAACTAATGGAATTAAGGAAATCGCTGATCGATATAGGGTGGATTACACCTTGAAGAATATTCTGTCCCATATGGGGGAGGGTATGTGAGACAGTTTATTATTTTCAGAGTGAATCATGAATGATCACATAAAGTAGCACATCAGAAGAGCTCCCTGCTCCTTTTAAAGGTGGAGCGATCATTGGGGTACTTAGTCCGCGATAGATCACCAAGAAGAATCACAGAAGAAGAACGCAGTATCAAGACTACAGAAGAAGAATCAAAAGAAACCAAGGGAGCAACCTGTTCCTAGCGTACAAATAATTCATAATTACCTTTTCTTTCATCCAAGCTTCAAATTCATCACCCTCACGATAGAAATGGAACAATCGGATTGCATCGGCTAGACTTTCAGAGCGGGCCTGAAAAGAAATGACAAGAGGTTCAATGACAGCCTGACAGATAGACTTCTGGTTTCTGAAAAGTTTTTCTCAAATTGACACTTAAGACAAGAGTTTATTTGAGATTTTTTGAAGACCCATCCCAGCAAATTATTTCCTAATAAAGGCAGAGCTTACAAAATTGTGAAATGAAATTAAATCAATGCAGAAAATACTGTGACACACTGTGTGGGTACTTTGCCTTTCTTTTTAAGCAAAATCCATTAATTGTCACTATCAATGGCCGCCTCACAGTTTTCTGTCACAGAATTTTCAAGAAGGTATTTATGTATCAGAATTCGAACTAGAGAACATTAATGCAACCCCCCACCCCACACAATAAATAACTAGGTTCTCACCTTAGCTAATTTAGCCAGTTTGTTATACAATACATTTATACTGCGTTGTCTGGTTTCTACATTGTTTTTATCAAAATGAAGGTTATCCTTCGACCTCACTGAAAATAACAGATTATAAAACTATACACATGTTCAACATCAAAATATATAGCTAATTTGGCTTAACGACTTACTAACTGAAAGAGCTAGGATGTGCTGTTCAATACCAGATTCATATAATGGAATTCATGGATTATATGATCTTTTGGCATCTTGGGAGAACTTGCTATTCCAACTACCCCCCTCTTTAAAGTTTTTTTTACTCATTCTGACATTTTCAATATATTACATACAAGAGGAGTAAGAATATATTCAGACTAAGATCTTGATTTCAAAGTTTTGGTGAAACACAGCAACTGTCAAATTAACCAAACAAATTAATTACCTGATGGTGCTCTTCGAACTTTGGCAGATCTTTTCTGTTTCACAGACTCCTTTTTCATGACAACTTCTTTGACTTTTACACGTTTGGGAACTTTGACTGGACGTTTGACAACTTTCTGGATGACCTTAGGATCAACTGCTTTGACGTAATTAGCAGGTACAAATCCTTCTCCACCATCCCCTTTTCTCACCTGCCACCAATCTTCATTAGTCTGTTGAAGGAGAACCATTATCTGAAATAGACAATTTTCGTATTTCATATACATATCAAAACCGTTCAACTCAAGGCCATCAAGCTAGTCATGCAAGAAATTTACCCCATAAAAACAACAAGATACAAATTCATTTCTTCAATAATAAGAAAGAAACTGTGATGCAATAGCATCAGATTGATTTTCTTCTGATAACACAATGGTTATAACAAAAACAACAAACTTGGAAACTAGGACAAGGCAGATAACTCTGAATGTAAATTTTGTAAGGGCCAAATGTTGAACAAAAGTCCAAGAAATTCAAATTTTTGATTATATACCAGTACACATATTTTATTTTTCAAGAAGGTAGCTAAAGAACTTCAATATTCAGGGTTATGAGCAATATTGTCTTAACATTTTCAAGCACTTAAATTGGAGCTTAAAACTGTGAAATCTACAAGGAACATACAGACTGACAGAAAGGTATTGACCTTGACATTGTTTGGTTACTATGAGTTATGGTCAAAACCTGTTAAATGCAATCAAATCTGACAATGGATTGATTAAAACTTTGTAATGAATCTTGCATTTCTGTTTATTTATAGAAAGATTTAGATAATCTATGTGACAAACAAGTTTTCACTGTCTATTTTTAGAAAGTTTTACCTTCGCTGTGTGATAAACAAATACTTATTGACTATTTTTAGAAAATTCTCCGAACAGGAAATGATGTGGTTTAATTTCCAAGAAGAAAAGAAAGATGTCATTGAAATCAGATCATCAGAAATATCAGTTCATTTTGCAAGTCACGAGCAGACATTTGATGTGCTATAACCTCTTTAAGTACATGTAGTCTTTTCTTTTCACAAAAGATCTTCAGGCAAAGATTTCGCATGGCCATGTCCAATACATGTGGAATTCAGAAATCATCAGAGAACAGAAAAGAAAGAAAGATCCAATGTTGCCCTTTAGGTTCATGTGTTTCTAATTCTATCAAATTTCTATGACTCACAGACCTGCTATTTTTTTCAGATTTGCTCAAATTAAATGGTCAATGCCTGAAAAAAACTTCTAGAAGAATGTACAATTATCAGTTAGAAAACTAATGAAAGGTCCCAAATATTTCTACAACTGACTTCAGTATCTATCAAATTTCGATGATTCATACCCCTGCTACTATAGATGGAATAAGACCAAATTAAATGGTCATTGCCTGCCACCCACAGAATCTTTCCATAATCCTGTTACAATATCCAATTATCAGACCGAATGTTATAAAACTAATGTTAATTGATATTTGAAATGAAAGCTTAGATTTTGTTACATCCCAAATGTGTCTAGGATTATATAACTATGAATAGAATAACGAATCACAAGATATATGGATATACTATTTCTGTTATATTCATAAAACTTAGTAATTTTGAAATCTGGTTTAAAGCCGGGTTTAATAATTATTTAGTTTAATGGATATATCGTCTTATATAGAGATTCTATGTCCAACTGATGAATATATTTACTCTTATTGACCAAGTTTGAGACTTTAAATTTTATGTCTATTCCAAGAGGTAGCTTCCATTTAACACTATACCTATATAGAGCAATGGCCGACAACGTATCAACATGTTTATGACATAAGGAAATTGTCCTAAGAAAGTTATTTAGCTTTAATTCAGTCTGCTCATTATGAGATTTCTGATACTAAGCTACACAGTCAGATTATCTATTATAACTTCATTTTGAAGAATGGCACGGAAATCTTTTCTGACAACTGATTTCTGTTCATTTCCTGTTCACTACGTAGTCTGTCATTAAAAATACAACAAAGATGACAGATTAAAAGGTTGTTTATTTAGACTCTTATAATCTGTAATGGAACTTTCAATATAAATTAATAACACAACTTCTGTAATACTGACAATGACTGTCTATGAGAATCTAACTTTTTGAGCTCAATGGTTACACTTCTTGATAATTAAAAACATTGCTTGGACAATGGAATACAAGTGAAACTCTGACAAGGTTTAAATCAATTGGCCAAATTTCAATTGTAGGCAACCCTGATGCCTTATTTTTGCTTAAATAAGAATGGAGGACATCATCACTTAACAACTACACAATTCTGTAAAATTTTATAAGTTAATAAATGAATTCTATATAATGTAGTTAATGAAACTGTGTAAGTCAATCAACAGCTAAAACTAATTCAGAAATCATGAATAGCAGACTGGTTTCATAAGATTTCATTTACCTCTCTATAGTATATTTATATAATCTACATTCTATCAAATTTGATATGTGCATTATGTCCATTTAATCAACCAATCAAAGAAGAGAAAATGGAGCATTCAACCAATGAGAGAGAAGTATACAGGACACCTGAAAGACTGATTGGTAATGTTTCACAGGTTGGGACTGACATTACCTGATTAACACATGAAAATATTATATCAGAAAAGTACTGACCAAACATTAATTTCTACACAAGTGGATATGTTATGTGGAATGGTCTTCAGAAATAACTGACAAGAAAGTTGGAATACTTGAATTAAATAATTAATACTTCAAGATTAAGGTAAATATTAAATTTGAAAAATTTGTGAATTTATAAAGTATTGTTAACAATAATTTTGACATAATATAACAAAATTCATCATCAATTTTAATTCTAATATTTTGAAATTTGTCTGTTAATGATGTTAAGATGTTTAATCTTTGAAAACGAACATGACAGTTTTCATTGGAACATGAATATTTGATTCAAAAACATGAAAGTTAAATTTTCAGAGTTTGAATATTTTCATTAAAAACATGCAGCATTATTTTTGAAAATAATTGTTTTTCTCCAACATAACAGCATAAATATAACTTTAGAACATGAATTTATAACTTCTAAACATGAAAGTTTTAATCAAGAACATGAAAGTTTTAATCTAGAGCATGAAAGTTTTAATCAAAAACATGAAAGTTTTTATCAAGAACATGAAAGTTTTAATCAAGAACATCAAAGTTTTAATCAAGAGCATGAAAGTTTTTATCAAGAACATGAAAGTTTTAATCAAGAACATGAAAGTTTTAATCCAGAACATGAAAGTTTTAATCCAGAACATGAAAGTTTTAATCAAGAACATGAAAGTTTTAATCAAGAACATGACAGTTTTAATCAAGAGCATGAAAGTTTTAATCAAGAACATGACAGTTTTAATCAAGAACATGAAAGTTTTAATCAAGAACATGAAAGTTTTAATCTAGAACATGAAAGTTTTAATCTAGAGCATGAAAGTTTTAATCAAGAACATGAAAGTTTTAATCAAGAACATGAACGTTTTAATTTGGAATGTGAAAGTTTGATTTAAGAGTATGACAGTTTTCATGAGTATCTTATTCTATAACATGAAAGTTCAATTTTAGTGTATTATTCTTGAACATGAAACATTTTTCTTGAACATGAATGGAATGCTGCTCAAACAGGACTGAATAAAACATAAAGGTTAAAATTTAGATCAAAAATCATAATTTTATTCAATTTCAAAAAATGAAATTTTACAGATAAATTTTGAACATATATGTATATATCTAATTCTGTTCCAAGAATTTATATCAGTTATGATTAACACCAGGTATGAAATCTCTAGAAAAGATATACATTGTTTAGTTTATTTTTATTTGGCTGAATTTGGAATACAGTTCAAGAAGGGAAATGTCAACAATAAAATTAGAAGATCAGCTAATTCCAACATCGTCATACCCAAACTAAAAATATCAGCTGGTTTTTCAAACTTTGCTTGCATTAATTCAGGCGCTAAATACTTAGGATCACCTTCTTAGAATGACCCGAAATCAGTTCCTATTTTCACCAATTTTGTTCCTTTATAAAAATCTAATTAAATAAACTCATCAATTACTCATTGCTGTTAGACATAATAAACAGTAATAAAAGTACAGGATTATGAATTTTTTTTCAATTAAAAAATACTTCTTTCTGTGTTATTGTAGAAGAATTTTTTTGTCAAGTTTGTAGCTATAAAAATGTAATGTGTCCATTAATAATCTTTTTTTTTTTAACAATCTAAGCATTGGCAGTAGATCTAAGGGTCACATAATATATGTGATATGTACATAGACAGGTTGACAGTGAAGCTGCTGTTACAAACTGACATCATATGCTCTAAAAAACTCTAGATATGGAATGAAATGAAGTTTAGCTAAGAGATGAGGGCTTATTTTGCTCAATCATCAAACAATCAGCTGTCAGAGAGTTATAGCAAGGATAAGCTGTTGCTCATTCTTTTGAAGTGTTGAAATACTGACCTCAATTGGCTGATAGTGTCATTACAATTGATCCTAATTGCGCATGGAATTTTAATAATAGTACAACATATCATTTTAACATAACTCTTATTAATTGGCACAAAAAACTCTTTGCAATCCTTTTAAACTAATTGACTTTTATTTACACCTCTTAATGACAGCACAATTATTCTTATGTTAAATACTTAACAGATATCATGAAATCACATAGACTTCTACTACTGATTAGGATTGTGAAGGTAACATTATGTAGTGTACAATGAGGGAACTTTGCCAGGTTAAGGACATACAATAATTCTGTATCAAATTATATTGTAGTATTAAATGGTTTTCAGTTATTTATATCATATAAAATAATCAAATAATTTATATCATCAAGGATACTGAATTGACAAAGAGGGTTGTGAATTCAAAAAATTTATTCTCAGGGATGTACTAGGTGTCTAGAAAGTGTTGGCATGCCTACTGTTAAATGGTCTTTATAATCGAATTAGTTGACAATCGCAATCTTTTAAGGTTGTTTCAGTACAGGTATCGAGGATACCTTACATCAATCGTACCTCCCAGTGTGAAGAGCATTCAAAAGAGAGCCTGCATGTTGCACGTTACCAGATTCATAATTTTGTAAGATTGTTTGTCATGGAATAAAACATAGTTTTTCTAGAATGGGCCTTTGTTCCTTAGAGACTGTGCGCAACATGCCTTGCTGAATCAGTAAAAACCTGTCACAGCACAAAGTGAAGTAGATTTATAAATGCTATTTTAGAAACAAGAGCCATTAGCCTTTTTCAAATAGACACTTCAATTAAAAGTAACAGAATAAATACTCAAATTTCAACCCTATTTCATAAAAATTGCTAGTCAATATTCTTACGTATAAAATCTAGCAATTATAAAAACCAATGTTTGAAATGTAAACATATGTGAAATATGAAGTTAAAGATCAATCTTATTGAAGCTTGGTATTGTTTATATTTCTATTGTACATTGTTTATCAGTCATTTAAAACAACATTCAATTCAATTTTATTCTTTCAAATGACAGAAATTCAAATTTTGATCAATAAGAAAGAAAGAGAAAAACATCAAGAAATGGGGTTCACAACTAACTTCCTACCAGCTGGTCCTTGACCAAACCTCTTGTAATCAATCTGTCCTGGATTATATGTACGCATTTACTGGAAATATGAGTGAAGCTGATTTATTCAAGGTCATCAGAAGTAGAGCCAAATATCAAATTGTTGGAGAAGCAAGTGAAAATCTAAGTACCCAATCCCTTTTTAACTCTTTATACAATAACACATTTTTCCAAGATAACATGAAAAATATTATAACAAGAGAAATGAATTGCATGTTACAAGAGTTTAAAAATGTTTTACTTTGATTCATTTTTCTTAATTACGATAATGGACAGATTATATTTTCATCAATAACTTGACTTTATTTTCAATTAGTCACTAAAGATGAGAATCTAAGACATCATGGTGATAAATTTTCTCCCTCAACGGTAATGGATTGTCTTAATTCTGAAGTTGTAACATATAAAATATATTCTTTAAAGTAAGAGCAACAAAACCTATCCAAAAAATCCAAATTGACAACAAAATCTGTCAAATTTACAAAATTAAAAATCAACAAGGATTTTTGTCAAGTAGCCATACAATAGATTATAAAACATTATAAAAATGATTGATGTGCATAGTTTTATCACCAAGGTGCATTCTTTTTTGTCTTTCAGGAAAATGAATTGAGTGTTTGGTTACCAAGGCAGCAGAACATCACAGAATCTTTCCATCTTTCAGTCATTTAATAACAAAACAGTTTAAGACAATTGATTTCTCCATTGATCAACTTATTAGTGTAAAAAAATTGGTAAAAAATAAGCTGACGTACGTCTTTGGCAGTAGACAAGTTGTCGTATTCAGCAGCATGTGGTACTTTTATTTGCAGAAATTACTAACTATGCTATTTTGCAAAAAATAATAGAAACTTTGGGAAGTGGACACATCTAGATTTAAACTATGGACATAATAAAATAATGACCATGCTCTATGATGATAATTTCACAAAGGGAGACAATCAGTCTAACTATAATCAAACTATCATAGACAGACGTGAAATGTACGAAAATGTAATCTGGGCCATAATTGTCACCATCATTATGTGTGAAGGAATTCTGGGAAATTTTATGGTGATTCTGGCCATTAGACGTTTCGAGAATCTTCGCGAGGAAGTGTCCAACATGTTCATCATCAATTTATCTCTGACTGATATGTGTACATCCACCATCATCATGTTCAGTTCCTTGATCGTGCTGATAGCTGACAGCTGGCCCCTTGGATTATTTTGGTGTAATTTTGTCTGTGCTGCTAATTATTGTCTTATTATTGTGTCTATGATGACACTGTGTTTTATAAGTATTGATCGTTTCATTGCTATTAAATATCCTTTACATTACTGTATCACAATTACCCGTAAGAGAGTTCTAATAATGATATTCTACGCATGGTTTCAAGGAGTCATCTTTGCTATTGTGCCGGTCATGTACAGCTGGATAGAATTTGATTACTGGGAAGTAATATGTGCAATCAGTTGGTACAAAGAAAGACAACAGGCCTTATTTTATGTAATTTTTGCTTTTGCAATGTGTTTCCTTATTCCAGGAATAGTGCTAATTTATTGTTACTGTGCTATCTTTAATATCGCACATCAACAGAGTCGTCAAATTAACCAAACGGTCAGAAATGTTGTGAACAAAAAAAACACAACTAAATACAGTACTAGTACTAAAGCAGTGAGAAGTCTGTTGATCATAGTGATAGCTTACTTTCTATGTATGGCTCCGTTCAGTTGTACGAAGCTCTACAAAGTGTCTGTGGATGAATATCAATCATTGCCGAACTATTTGAACCTCATCTCCAGTGTTATGGCTTTTATATCAAGTGCTGTCAACCCCCTGATTTATGGAATATTTAGGAAAGATTTCAGACGTGCCTTCAAGCTTCTATTTACGGTAAAGAGTAATAGTATAGATACTTTTCGATCATCAGCAGATAATATGCAATAAGATATCATAGGTTTATTTAGCTAATGCTAAGTATTTATAGGTATGCTATAATGAATAACCTACTGCATTGTAACAACCTTAAATTCCTACCTTATATAGCTCCCCTAATATTATTCTTAGCTTTTAATATCTATCATTAGGTATGTTATAATGAATAACCCTACCTTATACTTACTCTAATATGATCCTTAGCTTTTGATATGCTATAATGAATTCTTCCTACCATATATAGCTACCCTAGCATGCTCTCTACCCTTTAGTTGAATAGTAACTTTCAGTCACTATATTCTCTTTGTTGATTGTGACTGTACAAAATGCCAAATTAAGAAATATGCCATTGTCTGAAGATAAATCTGTTTGCCCTGACCGTCAGACCTAACACAGGAAAATCAGACACCACCCTCCCATGTTCAGAATCTTAAGCATTTGCCAAGAAAACGTATGCAAGATTTCAGTGAATATCTTTCAAAGTAACACCTGTATCTTTTCATCAAGTTCCTAATGTTCTTCTTTTTATTTATTTCAGATTCGAGAATCTACAAGAACACCAAATATCTATTTTTATAAACAGTAATTGTCGAGTCAAACCCAGAAATAAACTGACTAAAATATTCAAGGTTTTTTTAAATTTATGTTGGCTATTGAGGAAGGACAAAAATCTTTGGCATTTTTTTGAATAGAAGATGTCAAAATAAACAATTTCCGCCCTACTGTCCATTACTGGCTGACCCTTACCTGGCCCGTATTTGTTATTTTGATGGTTTATCAGTTAGAAAGTTTGATATCATCAGAAACTGTACAGAAATGTTATTCCTTGCTAAATTTTCCATGTGAACCCATCAATGAGTTAAGTACTCAAAGTTAAGATAGCAAACCAGGTTACTCTTTTAAAAGATTACTACCTCTTAGAGATTCCTGGGCCAGTGCTTTCAAGAGATGGCCTGGTGTCGGCTCTCACCCCCTTATACCTTTTAGAATAAACATAAAATTCAAAATCTCAAACTTGATCAATAAGAGTAAACATATTCCTCATTGGACCTACACAACCTAACAGTATCCTCCTATAAACCCATGAATAAAAAAAACATGTAATTATTGAAAAATTCTTAATATACTCAATGATTTCATTTAGTTTTATGAATAATTACTTATAAATTTATTGAATTATGGAAGGATTTTGTCTTATAGAAAAGACAAGTAAAGTGATGAATATAATATACTCATTGGCAATGTGTGTTCAATGTAAGAGGTAGTATTCCCTTGAAACATGACAAACAACAACAGACATCTGGGAACAAATACAGAAGAAAAAATCTCCAGCTTTCAATCAAGATCGCATACTTTTGAAGATTACTATAATAGCCACCTAGAAATACGATCTGAGTCTTAACACAGCCATCACTATAGTAAATCAAAGGACATTGAAGTCTTCAGGTCTAGACAACAAGAATTAAAAAATCAAAACATCTTCAGTTTCTATTTCAACATGGTATCGCCAACAGGTTGAAACATCCCATTAATCACAAGTAAGCAAGCAGTAGTAAAGATGGTTATAACATAAATATTAATGGTAAGCTCAATGTAGAGTTATCTGTAGTCTAATTAAATTAGACCAAACTTTCTTTTTTCTCATTAGCTATTATTTTTAATATGACCACTTCAGTTAGGGTCACAAAAACCTTTTTTATTTTTATTCCTAACTGGCAATGTTCATTGCTTAGACAAAATCTAAAACAGAGATTTGAAACTACGGCGTAAGATTTGACTTACCTCCCCTTTATCAACTTTGATATCTTGACCTTTATAAGCATACATGGCCTTGACCTGAGGAATTTTTCTTGTTTCGACAACATCCTGCATCACTTCCTCTTCAACCACCTTTTCTACCTCCACTTCATGAGGGACCTCAATAAATTCTTCAGCTGCTTCTTCCTCGTCTGATTTTTCTCCGTTTTCAACTGGCAGACTGAATTTTGCTGGAGATATCTTAAAATAGGACATAAAAAGATGAAGATCGCAAAATTTAAAGAAAAGAACCAAAGTTTTAAAATCTTACGTTTCAGATTATTTGGCTATGAAGAATAGCGGTGAGAGAAAAACTAATCAATGTTGTGGTGTGTCGGACACCACTTCTAGTCTCTTCTATTAAGGTGAGTATCCCTTGGAGAGCAATGAACAACAAAATTAATATATGGCATTTAGAAAGCCTCACTTCATTGTGGCATCAACGCTAAAAGATAGGAGAAATTTTGTTGGTATTATTAATAATTATTAAAATAACAGTATAGATTTATAATAATGCAATCCAAGAAGCATAACATGGCAGGTTACTGAGTAACTTTAAAATGTTCAAGACTACAGATATACTTACATTATGCTCGCTGGCAGCCTTGGTCATCAAGACAGACAGCTCTTCTAATCTCTTAACCTCATTATTGAAAGAATGTATATCTTTTTCTAATCTATTATGTCTGGATAACAGGGCCTAAAATTTATTTCAAATCAGATATATTAATTACTTCTACTTACAATATTAAAGGGCCTTTTTCACTAGTTTACATGCATTGCAACAACAACAGTCATCTATCAGTGTCTCTGATTCACATAAACAGTCTAGATAACCTCTTACAATACCTTTAATTAATGCAAATTGACTTGACAGGGTCATAAATTTTTTGACATTTCATTTGACAGGTTTTCAATGTTTAAGTTCCAAGTCTCACCTGAGCACTAGCTTCATCTTTACCATAATCATCACTAACTACTATTGGCATCTTCTCTCTCATCCACCATTCAGCTTCATTGGCATCAGCATAGTACTGCAATTAAAAATACAGCATTAGTATAGTACTATAAATAGAAATACAGCATCAGCAGAGTACAACAAATAGAAATACAGCATCAGCATAGTACACCAAATAGAAATACAGCATCAGCATAGTACACCAAATAGAAATACAGCATCAGCATAGTACATTAAAATAGAAATACAGCATCAGTATAGTACACCAAATAGAAATACAGCATCAGTATAGTAAAACAAATAGAAATACAGCATCAGTATAGTACTATAAATAGAAATACAGCATCAGCAGAGTACAACAAATAGAAATACATCAGCTTAGTACACCAAATAGAAATACAGCATCAGTATAGTACACCAAATAGAAATACAGCATCAGTATAGTACAACAAATAGAAATACAGCATCAGTATAGTACACCAAATAGAAATACAGCATCAGTATAGTACAACAAATAGAAATACAGCATCAGTATAGTACAACAAATAGAAATACAGCATCAGTATAGTACAACAAATAGAAATACAGCATCAGCATAGTACAACAAATAGAAATACAGCATCAGTATAGTACAACAAATAGAAATACAGCATCAGTATAGTACAACAAATAGAAATACAGCATCAGTATAGTACAACAAATAGAAATACAGCATCAGCATAGTACAACAAATAGAAATACAGCATCAGTATAGTACAACAAATAGATGTACAGCATCAGTATAGTACAACAAATAGATGTACAGCATCAGTATAGTACAACAAATAGATGTACAGCATCAGTATAGTACAACAAATAGATGTACAGCATCAGCAAATTGATACAAATACACAATGCTGATTCAAAGAAATCTGATCAAAAGATCCAAAATTTACCTGATGAGCTTCAATGGCGTCTTCTAAGCGAACTCGTCTAGATTTAGATTGTTCTTGTAATTGTTTCCATTTGTCCATCAAATTTTTTATTCGTTGTCCAATTTCTGATTGAGATTGATGACCTCCATTGACTAAATCTTGTCCAACAGAACAAATCTGTTCACATCTCTTCCACCTGGATGCCATTTCTAACTCTAGATTCTAAAATAAACAAATTCACTGTCAGAATAGTTTAAAGGGAGGGAACCAAACTAATTATCTGTGAAATTTCTAGTAAAAAATCCATTATTGAAAAAATGAATAACTTGAGAACAATATTACGTTCTTCTTAATCTTGATACTTGTTCTATTAACGTTAGAATTTCCTTTTTTGCCTCCTCCTGTTTTGCATTCAGAAAAATGATTCTTCATATCGGCTTTCCCAAGCTGTACGAACTTTCATATTTGAAATGAACAGCAAATGGCTGGCTGACTTCATGTTTTTGAAGTAATTTATTTTCTGAATCTAATCTGGCCCGTTATATCTTGATACCTGTTCTATTAAAGTTAATATTTCCTTTTTTGCCTCCTCCTGTTTTGCAGTCAGAAACATGACTTCATATGGGCTTTCCCCAACTGTACTTTCATATATTAAAATGGCTGACTTACTTCATGTTTTTTAAGTAATTTATTTGCCGAATCTAAATCTTTGCCCGTATTGGTTGATTTCACATCTTCCAATTTTTCTGTTACCCATCTTTCTTCCATCTCGGAATCTTCCAGGAACTGATAGTAAGACTTGGCAACTTCAAGACCTTTTCTTCTTACATTACACAGATTCTGGACACTGGAAGAATAAAAAACAGGTAACAGATCAAAGGCTTTTTCAGGAACTTTTAGCCGATTTCATATCAGGGTAATCTCAATGGACCAATATGTTACAAAGACCTGTTTAAATCGCTGACAATATCCAACTTATATACATTATATCAGATCTTGTCTCAGAGTTCATTAATATTTGGCTGGTGCAGTCATTATTTTGTGTGTAACTTTGGGCAAAGGTATCTAGGCATTAAGAAATGGGTGGCCTTGGTACTGAGCAGTAACTGGCAGAATCTGGGAGAATCCAAAAGTGCAGATGGTTTCCACACTGGAGTTGACTTGCATTAAAGGAATTTATCCCTAAAACAATGTAACAGAATTTCTTGGATATTTTCCCACCCAGCATGCACTCAAAAGTACAAATCTAAATACCTTGAAACATGGTTATTTAGTTTTTCCAAGCGTTGTTCTAAAGGTTTAGCCTCGGGATGTCCTTCTGTACCATACTGTACTGATCTTCTGTTGAGATTTTTAACACGCTTTGCCAGGGCCTGAACCTGAGCTTCATGTAAACTGTGCTGCTGTAAATAATCTTCAGTAGCTTGAAGATGTTTACCAAAATCGTTTACTTTTACTTTACTCTGAAAACAGCAATAAGTTTTATAAGAAATATGATTGGTTTGGGACCTCAAATGAGTTCGACTCATAGATACTTGATGGTGGACAAATTTCTGCCTATTAGTTGCTTGCTTAAACACTGGAAAATCTTTTTTAAACAGCTGGACTGATCATGGCTGTTATATTAGAAACATGTATCAATACCATTAGCTGAACTATTGTCAATTGAAGAAAAGACAGAATTTCATTAAAATGATATGATCTAGGATACAACTATGCTACTGAAAGTGAGTTTAAAAGAATCATCTCAAAGAACTGTTGAATTTTCTTGCTACATTTCTGACATAAGAAAAGTTACTGATATGATTGCCTCCCTCACCTCCACTTCCCTGAGTTCTTCTTCAATACTTTCTATTTCTCTGAAATGTCCCATGAGGTTACTGAAACCTGATAGTGTTACTTTACGTCCTTCTAATTTATCTAATAAAGCTCTCCATCTTTTCATCACCTCTTGATCTCTGTAGTTAACAAAATATTACAAGTTTTAAGGGAATTTATTTTCTGTGTTAAGGTTAAGATTAGCAAAGATATATACCTTCTTCCAAGAAAAAGAGCAAGGATAAGATGACCTTGTTACTGGCAAAATTTGGGACCAAAATCTCAAAATCTTAAATTGACTGAAAATCCGAATATTTACCATAAATGCAAATCAAATGTTGTGCAAATCAAATGTTGTGCAAATGTTTGTGCAAATCAGATGTTGTGCAAATCAGATGTTGTGCAAATCAGATGTTGTGCAAATCAGATGTTGTGCAAATCAAATGTTGTGCAAATCAAATGTTGCAAAGAAAGAATTCAATCACGAAGCTCATTCAGGCCACTTATGTATATATGCTACAAATGCAACAAAGGAAGTTGACTTACTTTTTCTGGACACCATCTTTATTATGATAATTTCCCTGAACCAGTTCTTTAGCTAGGTTGTTAAGAGCTCGGAAACGATCTTTCTATATAAAAGAAATTGAATTAGATTAGAAAATATATATATAAAAAATATAAATAATAAAAAAGAAAGAACTATCAAGTACAACAACTTATATTCAGGAGCATCCTTTCTCTGTCTACGTAGATATCAAAGTAAGTGATAACTTAGCTAATCCAGCCCCCTCTTACCTTTATGAAAGTTCAGGCATTGACTGGACAATAGCATGATAATTTGTGCCATCTGCTTCACTAGCTATAAGAGGAGAAATTAACGTACCCTAGCTAATATTTCAGCACTGATGGCTTCATGTTTTTTAACAGCAGCCTCTGTCTGAACAGCATTGCTACAGACAATTTCTTCATCTAGTATTTGTTCCATATCATTCAACCAGGCTTCACGAATACCAGCCTAGAAAACAAAGAATTCATGTTTTGTTTACAGTTTGCTTGAAATTAGAAATAAAATAAATGGAGTTTTACATCCTACTTTTCAGCACTTTATGGGCTTCATGCAGTGTGCAATACGGCAACTTTGCCAGGACAGCAGCATTAGTCTCGATTTCCAACTGTCGAAAGTTCTTTTACGTGCGCAGCCTGTAGCACACTGGGCCTTACAAAAATAATATTTGTCAAAAACTGCTTAATTTTCAAAATCACTTCACCAACAGATAGTTCAACTTTTATTCAAGATTCTCAATTAAATGCTTCCATAAATGAGACTGCAAATCAATCAATTAATGTTTAAAAACTATAATTACCTTTCTAGCGAATCTTCTAGCAAGTTGTTCTAGTCTTTCTTGTCTAAAAACAAAAATTCACCAATTTTCATTATAATTATATATATTATATTAGGGAACATATCCTCATTTTCTCTACCTTTTCCCACTCATTCAAATATTTTCCAACGTCAATATTCCCAACATGCATACTTAATGGAGAAACCAAACAGAGTTTAATCCCCTAGATACCTTATCTATATTATATACAGTTTAATATAAACCACTTTTCAAAGATGTTAATAATCACCAGTCTTATTTGCGTATGTGCCTTCCTAATTAGCATAAGTAACCTACCTGATTAATTCATCTCGAAGCGCGACTTCCCGACCATGTTCTGACTTCTCTAGCAATAACCAGGCAGTTTCTATGTCATGTATTAATCTACCTTCTTTAGGAGTATAGGGTTTCTGTCCGTTAGCCTTCAATCTAGCTTGTATATTAAAATACTGGGCTTCAATATTACCTCTTTCAGTATATCTATAATAAAAATTTTACGTGGTCAATTTCCATGATCATTTCTATAACCTAATAAGTTAAAGGATTCCATTGATCTTCAGCTCAATTGCTATAATATAACAGCATGACCAACTGTATGGTCACATTCTAACCTTGGGCACCCTCAAACACAGCAGGGGTTCTTTCCTGAGTGAACAATTCACAACTTTTGGTCTAATGCACCTCTAATTTTGATACAAGGACGTCTAAGATCCCAAAAGCAAGTCAAAAAGATTCAGAACCAGGAATTAAGAGCATGTCAACCTAATATTCCTTTCAAAGAGTCAAAAAAAAAAACAATAAAAAGAGAGATAACTCACTTGGGAGGTTTTTCTTCTGTCATATATTTTTTAAACATAATAAGTTCACGTTGTATTCCTTCTAATGAGTTAGGAAATCGTCTATCATTTAAATTATTTATTTTATTCTGTATCCATTCTAATAAATTGGAAGTTAAATTTTCATAATCTTGTTGCATCCTATCTAAATCTACCATATTTCCTAAAACCTGAAAATAAATTCATTTCAAAATAAATCAGCAATTTAAATAAATATCTAACTGATGACAGCAAATTCAAATTTCCTATGAGCAGGCTTTAAGACACTCATAAATCAAATGTCCAAGAATTAGTGGCTATATTTTACCTTAGCAATTCTCTTTCCTCCAGTCATTTCACTTTTCATCTTAGCGAAGTAATGGTAATACGAAGCTACGTAGGTTAATACAACTTTCTCATCAGGTCTGTTAACATCAACATCTATAATCAACAACTATATTGTGAAAACCACTTTGAAATGTTGAAAGTTATCAAGTTAAATAGTATTAATTTATCTATAAATGGTGTTTTTAATGTCATCAAACGATTAATTATATTGTTTTTATAATTCCTCACGAAATTATCTAATTTAGGTTTAGAGTAAAGCTCATCTCATGCTTCCTTCATCAGGACGACTAGTTTTGGAAGTATAGGTTATCTATTTAATACGAGACTTATGCAAAAAGTAAGCAAACTCACTGACAGTCGTATGAAATCAAAAAGAACGACATACAAGTCAATATAAATAAAAATATGTTTACCTTCAGCATCAAGAATTCTGGGAATACCAAGTTGAGAGTCTGCTATGTTAAAAGCATTATTTAAATTACCGATATGATCTGCTGGATCAAGTCTATCGTAGGCTATTATGTCAGGTCTGAAAAAATATACATCAAAACCTTATTTCAAAATAACATGATTAAAATGGTATAAAATTATCACAAATTCCCATAAAAGGGGAAAAAAAAAAATATATACTATTGTCCTGTTGGTTAACGTTTCAACTAATTGCCTTCTTCAGTAACACTTCAGTAGCTTATAATCACATTTTTTTCATCTTTCCTTTACTTATATTAAATATTCAATGATGGGGATGTTTATATCATATATTGAAATAATGGAATAAAACATTCGCAATTGTTTTTCAATATTACAATACTTCACTGACTATGTAACAAGGGGAAAATAGGTTGGAAAATTTCTTAATAAAAGCAGGAAAACCAAAATTTGAGAGAAATATAAATAAATTTATAACATTTTTCTTTGATCTTTTTGTAGCATAAACATTTAACAAGTTGGCAATGCTTAGCTATAGTACAACTTAACTGTTATTGCATGTTTTACTCTGTAAATGTATCGAAAGAGGGGAGGACACCCTTCGAAATTTGTGTTTAAACTGGTTAACACATGAAAACAGTGTTTTAACTAAGTTACGTCTACCATACCTGTGAGCATGAATCAAGGCATTAAAACCTAACCCATTTCTCCAACTTGTAGTAAAGTTTGTGATTTTAACACCAGGATACCTGAAAATATTATTGATAACTACAGACTTTCAATTTGTCATTTCTAAATGATAAACAAGTTGATACACAAATTTACTGGTTTAAGGTAAGAGAGAAACAATGAAATTTAAAAGAAAGCAGTAGACAATCAGCTTCTGGAAGATGACATAGATGAGTTCTAACTCTCCCTCAAGGCAAACAAATCTTGAAGTGAATATTGTAAGACCTTCTTGGTGAGAGATTTTATTTGAACACAAGCAGAAAATGAACATGACAGAAATTGATATTGTCCAATTGGGTAAAAGCAGTCAGGCATTTGTAGACATGACTAGCCAAATTAACAATCATAGCCAATAGTCAGGTCAAATCCATAATAGCTTGCTTGTTGTCAATTGTTATGCTGGAGACTAAAGGGAGATAACTCAAATCTAAACTAGCTCACCCTTCTGTTTTCCTCTGACACCACAATAATAAAGCATCTTTAGCTGATCTTTTTTCACCCTTTTCTTCATCTCCATCCTAAAATATTAAATTTTAACTTCAGACATACATTATATGTACAATATATACAATATATATATAATAAATATAACTGAATTGAAAATGTCAAAAGATATCACTACCAAGTTAAGGTGCAAGACTAGAGTGGATCTGATCTGTATCTAACTTCGATGTTCCTATGAATCCTTTAAACCCAAATTGGATTGGATTTGATTGGAGTTTGATAGCGAACTGGTACTGTGAGGGGAAGTTCATAAAAGCAACAGTAATTGCAACGTATATTTTGTACAGGTAAAAAAAAAACAAATAATTTTTTTCAAAATTAATACTAAAGCTACACACAGTCTTTCTGCCAGAAACTTTTCAAACAAAAAACTGAAATGAGCGGATCAAAACGTTCATACTTACCACATCAATTACAATTTCTTGAATTTGGAAACGTAAAATAATGGTCCATATTAACCCTAGAATCAATCTCTGATTCCCGTCTAATATATCTTCTGCTCCAATATTCTCAAAATATACCTGCAAAATTCAAATTCAAACTCTGTACTTTTTACTAAAAAATTTAAGTTATATCCAAAAAAACAATGGATGCTTCAGCTATCAAAAAGAGTTATTACTGCCGGTATAGCTTGAAAATATAATTTATGGACTAAATCTACATGCAATCAAAAAACTTTCTGGACAAAGCAAAAACACAAAATTTTGTTATTTTATGTAAATCTGCTATTCCTTCTAAACATTCAGATTTTTAATTTCTTTCTTTCTTATAATGATATAAACACTTTGGCACTAACAGAACGGACAAAAATCATTTTCTCCTGATTTTGCTGCACTCCAACTCTTCTCTTTATTGGCTGGGAATTACATAGTCAACAGCTAAAATAAAATTAACAACAAATTTACCTTTGTGGCCAGAAATTTGAGACATCGATTGAGGTTTTCAACTTTTTGCACTCTGAGTACACCTTTATTTGGTTTTCCTAAATTTTCACCAGAAATAATTTCCAATAATTTCATTAACATTTTTCCATCACTCAGATCTGTGAATAAATCTTTGATTTCCATTCGGGCCTTAAAAATACAATCATATAAAAAGATAAAATTTTGATTGGAATTCTGAACTCACAACCTTGTGTCAATTAGAAGATAAAGTCTTGAAAATGTAGAATATTCTAATTGTTGACTTCTTTTCAACTGTTCAGCGACTTCCCTTACTACGTTCATGAAAAAAATATGGCGTTAAACACAATATTCTTCTGTACCTAATGGACTAATGAAAATGGCCAACACCATTAAGTGTGCAATGAAGGAAATTTTGCCAGGACAACAAATTCGATTCTGAATGGGATAAAATGTTGAATAAATGTATAGTCTGCTGTTAGTCTTCTAGTATATATATATATATATATATATATAACATATAAACTTAATGGGTTATTATAAAATCTATGAAAATTGGCATCAGTAATCCAAAATGGGTAAAATTGCTATGAAAAGTTTGAATTAAATAGGCTAAAATTTCATTATCATTCATCCCTCTATTTGTCCTAAAGACCAGACATAGAACATTAATAGGTAATACTGAGAGTGGGTTATATAAATATCTATGAATGACAAACAGAAGGGGGTGGGGCATGTCTGCCTCAAACAAATAGTTGAAGTGAGAATGTGACAGGCATATCTTATTACTGTATTTACACCTCTCTGTGTGTGAGTAAAAGATATTTTTTTGAACAGATTATTTTTAATTCAGGGAATTCTTTTGTTCATTTGTTAGACACAGAGCCATGTAAGGCCAGGATTTTTTTTTAACTTAATGATTAACAAAATGACCATCTCAGTAAAAAAAATGATATAAATGATATAAAATAATGATATCTTTGATTCTTATTTTTTGAGGCGATTATTCTTTCATTTGTGTTTTAACCAACCCCCAAACCCACACAGATAAAAATTAATAGCAGTTTTTCAGCCAATTTCAAAATAGGCTCCATTGACTACTGCAGTTTTTTATTGTTATATATGCTGCCATCAGAATGAATAAACCTCAACAGAGTCCAATTCAAATTCTATTGTCTTCTTCATTATCATGATGCCTTTCTGTTAAAACATCTAACAGTTTAAAAACAAACTTTTCATCAGAATCACTCCTTCATCACAAATTACTATTTACTTGACCTGAATACCCAATAGAAGAGAGGTAACAGGTGTGTAAGGTTAATGAAATGAATAGTAACAGTTTAAAATTAAATCACCTATATTGACACAGGTAGAAAATGGACACAAAGAGAAACTAGTTGATAGTGGGTGAAGTCATGTTAATCCTTCATTAGATCACCTTCAATAACTACTTTCCTAGAAAGAGTAGTATTTAAGTCAAAGGGTGCAGTCTTGAATTGACTCAAAAGAAAGTGCTTTAAAGGGATTGTAAAGAGGTTTTCTAAACTGTTTATGTGTATCAGGAGAAACTGATAGCATCAATTGCACTTTCAATGAGACGTCTGTGATTCCTGCAATTCCACTAAAACCATGTGTTTGATGATGTCACTAATTGCGAAATAAGCTTTATCATCTTTCTCCTTTCTTGATTAGTGAAGTCACCAAACACTTAGTTTTAGTTTTAGTGGAATTGCAGGAACCACAGATGTCTTTAAAATCCCTTTATGCCTACTGTAATGGAGTGGTAGGTCCAAATGTATCTTATATGTCATGTCATTAGCACCTAAAAGCAGGATTCAGATCTGACTAATTTCCCTGAATTTCTTCATTCTAATTATAGCATATCTATCTTTATCACCTTTTGACAAAAACAGCCAAAGAGTTCATTTTAAAAAGAAATCTTTAAACACCCAAGATGAAGGTATGTGACTTCAACAAGTTGAATAATTTGTCTAATCCTATGTTAAACTTATTTAGCCTTTTAAAATCGTGCAGATAAGACAAACACACTAATCTAAACACAATCTTACAAATTACTTAGTCACACTTTCTGCAGCAATGTAAATTGAGAAGAATTTAAGACATCTTAGTAAGTTTTACAACCAAATAAATACTATAAAACAAGTGACAAAACTTTCACAAGAATCAAGAAATGTACTGCAGATCATAGTTAGTTTGGAGAAACCAGCCGAATAACATCAAGTGCAATGCCAAGGGCTCAGTGAGTAAGATGTCTGCCTACAACCTTCTCCAAGTTGGAATAGGTCAGGAAGTACCTTCGGACATAACTTTGTATTTGGGCGTAATAGTCCCAAGTCCCTCATGGAGTGTCTGAGAGAGTTCTCCCAAGCAAATTTTCAAAAAAACTGAACTGATTTGGTGCATTCTAACAAAAGTGGGAGTACAATTGTCGGTGCAAACCATTTTTTTTCTAGGGGAGCTAATCTACCCCACCCCGTATCACCACTAGCACTGAGTTTGAGCAAAGTAGCAGTCATTAAAGTCTTCTTTATCGCATAACTGAATGAGTCAAGGCTGTTCATTTACTTTGACTATGTGACACTTGAATTTATAACTGAACATTTAGAACCATGAATTGCAACAAAGGTATGAATCAATGCAAAATTTTCCTTATAATATGACATAAAGGGCACAGGCTACAAAAACAACACAGGAAACATTTATAAACTGTAAAGAAAAATTCCTGAGGAAAAGTCTAAAAGAAAAAAGTCTTGAGGAAGAAGAAAAAGATATCCGATTTTAGGTCCTATATTTAAGTAACACGACAACCAAATTTTCAAGTTTGAAATAGTAAGCAGATGTAGTGTTTATTTTAAAAACAAGATGATAAACCTGGTGACATATGGCCGTCTGCTCCCTGTTCAAATATTTTCTTACTGTTCTGCTAATAGTTTTATCTCTATGTTTATCAATAATATCTATTTCTGCTAAATAAACTTCAGATTATTAGCTTTATAAAACATTGATTTATTTACAGAAATAAATAAGGAATTAAAAAATGCTAAATTCCCAGATTTTGATATCCTAATGGTAATTTCCTTTAGAAAATTTTTTAATATTTCCAACTTTGAAAGATCCTAAATAAAACCCTGTTTACATTACAGAAGCGTTCTGAGAACAGTTCCAATTTGAGACTACTGAGGTGAGGTGGTCTCGGAACAGTTCTTAGAACGGAATAGCTAAAATTAGGTAGTGCAAACAGTAGAACAGTTCTCACACATGTGTCTTGTCCCCTTGACATGTTCCACAGCTTCTGTGAGCAGACGAATTTGCCTTAATCCGACGTCTAATATCAAGAGTTCAATTAAAATGCATCTGAGAACAATAAATCATTTACATTATTGTTATAGAACTGTTCTCAGAATGCTCAAAATTATAGTAGTGTAAACGGTAAAAATTTTGTCATTTTATTGTGTCCAGGTCTAGACCGAGAACTGAACACTTTGTAGTATTCTCATGTAAACGGTGCTCTTGTGTTCATGGTCCCATTCCTATACCATGTCAGTCCTTCCCTACCTGCAGCATTTATATTTGACAACAAGTTTAAAAACTATGGATGTATCATCTTGGTTTGTGAGTGAACCCGATACTTCTGGGACAGTGGTGGTGTTCTAGGAAACATTAGGTGAAGGGGCCAAGCAGGGGCCACAAAATTTCCCAGGGGGGCATGGGCAATTCTTTCACTATGTAAAATGGTAAAAAATATGAAAGTAGGTGGGCTAAACCTGGGCCAGCTAGGGGGGCCATGAAAATTTATGAAGCCATATATAGGCAGAAGTAGACATACTTTATTCATTATAGAATATGAATCATACTTGTCCTATACCAGGTTTTATTTTAAACTTTATTATTTATGACAACTATATACAATAAACCATGCAGAACAAAGTCTTTATTTTACTCCACATGGGTATTTTTATCATACTAGTCTCATGTTTTTGACATTTCTGTCCTAAATGACCTTGACCTACAGAAAATTTGAAGATCCATTACGACTGAGAAATGAGAAATTCAACATCCTACTTTTAATTGATCAATGCCACAAAGTGTGCAAATTTTTTTCTTGGATCTTTATTTTTCGTAATTAAGAAATAAAATCATCTTATAAATTGCAGTCATTGGTTTGGTTGATGTTAAAGGGTTTGTTAAGAGGTTTCTAAATTCTTTAAATGAATGGGGGACACTCATAGCATTAATTTCTAACAAATTTACAAAACCTCTTTACAATCCCTTTTATTAGTCCTTTCGCCTTGATGATAGGGTCTATGCTTGGCCAAAAATTAACAGAGATGAAATTTTCCTTTTCAGAAATACAGCTTAGACGAAATCTATTTTGAGAGAATTGAGCAGACTTAAGGAGAATGGACTGTGTCATTGTATTCAGGGTGCTTAAGCCAAAATAATATTTGAATAAAAGATAAAACTCACCTTTTCCAGGAAGGCATTGGCCCATTTTGTAAAAGTTTTCTTCTGAATATACACTCTCTCATCTTGTAATACTTTAATTCTACCCTTCTCAAACTGCTGTGTTTCTTTTAAAGACATGTTGACCTATTGCTGTTAATCTTTAGCTATCTAATACATCTGAAATATACAAAGATTGGCAATTAATTAACTGAATATCTGAATGGTTGAATGTTTTCTAATATGGCTGTATTTATTAGTCATAATAAATGTATGAACAATATTCATGTAAGGTCTTTCAGTGATGAATTTAACATTAAAGACTAAAGAAAGATTTAAACAGCTTTCAGATAAAGTTGCACCTTGGCATGTAATCTCGAAACGATCTTAGCGCTAAGATGTCCTAGAATCAATGTTAGAAGATAAGAGCCTAGGACATCCTAGCATTAGAATCGTTTCGAGACACCATTATCGACTTATTTCAGTCCCGAATAATTCTGCACATCAGAAATATCATGTCCAGTTTCTGATTTAGGAAAATAAAACAACTTCAACATGAGAACCTTCAAAATATAATACCCACTTGCTGTACCTGTATTCTCCACAAAATCCAAGTAATGTCCTTACAGTCAGTAACACATGCACCTTTTCATACAAAACCTTAAGTTAAAACTCAAACCATATATCAGCCCTGCCAATTATTTTTCATTTCATATTTTTACACGTGGTAAATTTTTCATTTTATATCTTTAACAATAGAAAATCATTTAAAATCACTCATTATTATGTAATGGTTCAGTTATATGAAAAGCACCAAATTTTCCTTGAAACAGATGTTCAATGCCTTCATTTTCTTTTATTTCATAGTTTTCAATAAGCGACAATTATCAGCAGGTTGTGACTGACGCTTTTCATATTTCATATGACTTAATATAACTTTTTATTTATTTCCCTAAAGAGCAGGTTTGTTTGATGTCATGAGGTTTAAATACTTTGAAAGGATTGTTTAAGTAATGATAATTCTTACTAGCATCCAATTGATACTGTGCCTATCGCGCACTAAAATAGGCTGGAAAAAGGATCTAGTCGTTCGGATGGGACATTAACCCAACGCCAAGTGTGCTACAAGCTGTGAAAGTCAAATATGCCTTGAAAGTTGGAAATGAAAAGGTTAGGCTCATGTCGGTGTCTTGGCAAATTTACCCTCATTGTACACTGCATGGCATTGCCAATCTTCATTAGCTGATATGGTGCAGAAAAGTAGGACGTAAATTTCCATTCATCTCATTTTTTTTCAACTGAAATGGGCTTGCCATATTGATTGTGCAGATGTTTCCCAGTCAATATCGACTTATTTCAGTTCCTAATATGATCTTTACCTGCTAAATGGAAACATGGTAAAAATATGTAATAGTTTCAGACCTGTTGAGACAATGCATCAATAACATTCCCTTCACAATTTTGACATATTTCCTATCAATATGATACATACTTGACATTCTATATAATATTATATGATAAACAATACATCATTATCTAGTTGGTGTTTCACCTTGATGACCTCATGATATCTACTGATAATACTAGACATTACATCATATACACCTATATATCTATTACTGGTATTCCCCTGGGGGCAAGGCTAACATATCTTATGGTCATAGAGGTGCACTAATCATTCAACAATTCAAGCACTGAGCTCTGACTGTCATAACATAATGTCAAACTCTTGTGTTGCAAAGTGGGCAGACCATATTTACAAACAGAAATTAATATAAAAACATTTATTAGATTATTGAGTTCTACGAGTTGAAAGTGACTTTTATAATTGCAGAAATATATCATAGACATACAGATCTGGGAGCAAACTCGATTTCCCAGCATCCACACTCTCTACAAAAGAACAAGGCCAGGTGGCAGGATATATTCTGCAATGCAAAGGAAAGAGAGCAGTTGGTGGCTAGAAAAAGCATGTTAAGGATGCTTTGGCATCAACCATGAAACTTGGAAGAAAGCAGCCAAAAACAGCAAACACCAGACTTTGTGGTCATCTTTGCCAACAAAGGATGAAAACAGCAAACACATTTTCCTATGATAATTTATCTTGAATACTGCAAACAATCCACAAAAAACTTAAAATTCTCCAGTTTATTTTTATCACTAAGGTTTAAAATGTCACAGAGTTAAAATTCTAAGATAAACAGAGAGAGTGTGAAGATAGTTTTTGTTAGGTGCAGGTGATATTTAACTTGTAGTTGACTAACCACAAAATACAACCACTAAATATCTTTACATCGAATACACCAAATTGGCCAGGCTGAAACTCAAAATAGTTGGGAAGCTGAATATAACTTTAGATTTAGGTGTTTTAAATGGGGGGGTAAAACCATCCAGAGCCTCTCCAGTTTTCAGCCTTGTCCAAATTACTAATCAGCGTCTTCAAGAGAAGACAAGTACAAGGGTTGCCGTGATCAGTACTGAAGCCTCACACTTGAGTCTAAGAATAGCAGCTGCCGGTGCTGGTCTTAGTGGTAGGAGCATCAAATCATCAAACCTTACATTTCTATGGACCCAAAACATTCTATGACTAATGGCATGCATCTGAAAGTTATATTTTAAATATTGGTGAAAATATTTCATACTGTGGTCTGAGACTAGCAATATCACATTTGTTTGGGGTTATTGAGTACCAAGGTGCCCATTGTTGATGTAACAAGTTATCTGTATTGTCTGATCATTAACAAGTGTAACAAGTTGGCTAGTCTAGTACTGTCACTGTAGTCAGACTTTGTTTACATGTCAACAACTCTTGTTTACTTGTTTATATTGTCAATAATTCTAATTTCTAATGTCACTCACACGTCTCCATTCAGAATAGTTATACTTGTCCATGAATTTGTGCCACTAAGATGGTTTATACATTTCTTAATGTATTCTCTGAAATTTTCCAAGCTCATTTAGGAACACTTTGTATCACCTAAATCTAGGCTTGTCAATCCTACACTTGTGTCTGCATGTAGTTTTAACCTTTTGAATATTTGTTGTTAACAGTCTCCCACAGGTCAATGACATATTGCTGTGATAGTAAACTGTCATTTACTTGTATTTTTTGCTCTTGTTTACAAAAGTCAACTATCAGTTGTGAAGGATGAAGCAAATTGGTTTTCTCATGAAATAATGTCACTACATCTTATCACTAATGAAAAGGTGGACATTATGCTTAATTTTTTTCTTTTTCCACCATCTTTTTAATACCTGACAAAAAGTTGCTTTCAAAATTTTTGAATATTTATTTATTTATTTAATTCAAATATTTACAAAAAGCTTGAGCCCCTGAAATAAAATGATTTCACAGTAATGTAAGGGATGTCAAGTCATGACTGGAGCTCCAGAATGAATCAGCAATTCTTCTGTAACTTATTGCCAATTCATGTGTGGAAGTCATGTAGAAAAATAGAGTTTATTTTATCATTGTTGATTTAGGGTATTTGAACAGTATATTCAATTGTCTTTATGGCTTGAATGTTTATTTTACCTTATTCAGCAAAGGGTTCATCTAAATTTTTTACCTCAATAAAAGAAGAGTAGACTTTTTTTTAACCTATTTCAATGAAACATTGTTGTGTGAATACCAGGTAAAAACCAGGTGAGTTGACAAATGGACATCATGCTGTGATTGAAATGACCATCCAATAGAAAAAAAGTCGTAAAAACTGTTATATACTTTTCAATGGCTTTTCTTTCATGAACACCATTAGGTATTTGTGGTGAAATTGTTCATAAAACAGAGAAATTTCACACATAAAACTCACTTTATTTAGTTTTTCCAACAAAGACGGTTTTCTTGACAATGAAACACAAATCCACTACAGAAATTACAAATTAGACAAAATTTACTACCTACATTGGCATAACTAGGTGATACTTTTTGGGCCACGATCCCCACCCCAAAATTGCATTAGATGTTTTCCAACATCAGAAAATTTTTCCCCCACCCCCATGATGAAAATTATCCTCTAAAATCTGTAAAGGGACGTCTCGGCATTAGGGTCCCTCAAGGAGAAAAACAATCAACTCAATGTACTCAATCAAACTCAGTCGGTAGCAAGTTGGACTCTGCCTCCTTGATGATTAGGTGGCTTGAGAAATTTTGATCCCACATTAGTGCTTCTGACAGTCATAGTCCTCAGACAAGTAAAAGGGACAGATTGGTTATTTTCTTGGGTTGATTTGGATCTTGGATCTTGAATATTTGTAAATAGTCTTCAGAAGTACTAACAATGTAAGAAAATCACATAATACCTTCAAATATATCTCAAACTTGGAGCTTAGCTAAAAAATTCACGCTTATGAGACTAAGGTAAGATTGGTCAAACGGATGGCGAAACTGTCCCTTTAAGAAGTTGACACTTATAAAATAAATTCTGTAAAATATTCATAAATATTCAGAAGAATAAACAGTAAACCATCTGTTATTGTTGACAGAAACCAAATACTTTAAATTACTTACATTAATACAGAATATAATTATAATCCTTTTATCAAATATATTACTATTACAGTCACAAATATACATATACTGTTTGTAAGTCTCATAGAATATCCCAAATTTACACATTAATATAGAAATATTCCTGTTTTAATTTCAACTCCACACAATTTGAACCAATAACGTCCAAAAATTACACACACAAAACTGTAATAAAGATTTAAAGCCACTATCAAATAAAATTTTGTAGGTCAGAAAAGGTCCAAAGTTTCACAGAACTGTAGACTTCACAAACTCTGCCTCATATAAATTCCTGCAAGTGACAATAGTCTAAATTTAAAAGAAAAGAAATTTGGCGGCAAACACTTGTTGACCATTTGGTGTTAATAGATTACCAGTGATTTAACACCATGTGTGTGAGCCAGTTGGAGGAGTGATATCACAAACTTTCAAACTATCTTATTTACCCTACAGCCATTTAGATAACTTTTAATTCCCTGCAGTCAACATGGTTAGGCCACTTTATTTGTCAACAATGTTTCATGCTATTAAACTCATTGTTATGATGTTTTGATTCAAATCAATTTCACGTCATTTATTTCCTGCGTGTTGATTGATTGTTGAAATTGAACGATATCATTATTGAGGTGAA